ATATAATGCGGCAATTGATATTTTGAATAATGATCCTAAGCCTAAATCTATTAAAGAATGTTGACATAGAGATGATTGACCTAAGTGAAAAGATGTAATTCATGAAGAATCAAAGTCTCTTATAAAACGAGCGAGTTTTGGATCCATAGTTAAAACATCCGAAGATGTTAAAGACTTGGCATTGAGTATGAAGTGACATATTCTCCTGTAATTGATGCAATTACATTCCGTTATCTTATTAGCTTGGCAGCATGTAAAAAAACTTCATATGTATTTAATGGATGTAATCATAACCTATTTATATAGTTCACTTGATAATGATATCTACATAAAAGTCCTAGAAGGACTTAAAATGTCCGAAGCATGTAAAATACATTCTCGAGAGATGAATTCGATTAAATTACAAAGATCTCTAAATGGATTGAAATAATATAGACGCATGTGTTATAATCGTCTTAGTAATTATTTATTAAAAGAATGTTATAAAAATAACCTAATTTGTCCATGTGTCTTTATAAAGCAATTTGAAAAGGCGTTTATGATAATTGCCGTATATGTTGATGATTAAAATATAATTGAAACTCCCGAAGAGATTTTAAGTGCTATAAATTATTTAAAAAGAGAATTTGATACGAAAGATCTTGGAAAAACAAAATTTTATCTCGACTCGCAGTTCGAGCACTTAAAAGATGGAATTTTTATTCATCGGTTAAGATATATAGAAAAGGTGCTACAAAGATTCTACATTAATAAGGCTCATCCATTGATTAGTCCAATGGTAGTTTGTTCAATTGATGTTCAAAAGGACCCTTTTCGACCTTGAGAAGATAACGAAGAACTTCTTGATCCCGAAGTATCATACCTTAGTGCAATTGATACATTAATGTACCTTGCTAATAATACTCAACTTAATATAACATTTTCCGTAAATTTATTAACAAGATATAGTTCTACTCCAACACGGAGACATTGGAATTGAATTAAACATATACTACGTTATCTTCGAAGAACAATTGATATAGGCTTATATTACTCTAACAAATCAAAGACTGGATTAATTAGTTATGCGGATGCGGATTATTTATCCGACCCACACAAAACTCGATCTCAACTCGGTTATGTATTTACTTATGAAGATACAACTATATTATGGCATTCTATGAAGCAAACTATAAGCTGCCACATCTTCGAACCATACGAAATAATAACAATTCATGAGGCAAGTCAAGAATGTATTTGGTTAAGATCAATGCCTCATCATATTTGAGAGACATGCGGTTTATCCACTAGCAAGGAAATTTCAACGAGTTTTGTATGAAAATAATACTGCTTGCATAGCTCAATTAAAGAAAAGATGCATCAAAGGTGATACAACAAAACATATATCATCAAAATTATTTTTTACACATGATCTTCAATGAAATGATGATATTAATATTCAACAAATTCGATCAAGTGACGATCTAATAGATTTATTCACTAAGGCATTACCTATCATAACTTTTGAGAAGATGATTCATAAGATTGGAATGCGTCATCTTAGAGATCTTAAATGATGTCTTTAACGAGAGGGAGACCAAAATGGAGATTAATGTGTTCAAGGAATACTATACTCTTTTTCCTTCACTAGGATTTTTTCCTACTCGGGTTTTTTCTTAGTAAGGTTTTAACGAGGTATGTTTCTTGTACAATAGACATTTAAGGAGGAGTGTTATGGAATAATGAATGTCCATCTAGTTTTCATATCCCCACTACTCATGATTCTTAATATGATTCGAGTTCATCATTCAATATGAGAAATTAAAAGGGTAGCAATTGATGTACTTTTAATTATTCATAGTCCCTTTTAATTCTCATTTCAATTTTGAAGCCCTATAAATAGGCTTGATTATTCATTAGTTGATGTATAAGTTTTTAGAGAGATTCGAGAGAATAATTTAAAGTTCTTATCACTTGTATTCACTTTATAGTGAATTCTTTCTCTTGTCACCCTTCCCTTCAATTCTCCTTTTATTTTTATTTTTTCATAACATTAGTTAATTTGATTTATATTCAATTACTTAATTATATTAATTATATTCAATTGGTTGAATTATAATTTTATTTATATTAAAAATTATTAATTTATTGTTATTTTAAACTTGATTAGGTTAAAATTAAAATTAATTAATTTAATTATTTCGTATATAATTATTGAAATGTGTCGAGATACACTATTGTGTATCAAACACGAGGGGTCGGAGACAACTTGAGAATTGAGGAGAAATAAAGTTAGTTCTATACAAAGTCAGTGCAGACAATGATGAGGTTGTTACGGAACCTTCGATAGCCTTGCGTCCGTCTTGTCGACCCTCCCATAATTTAGGAGTTAGTTATTTCTCTCAATATCAAACACACGAAAGATGATGCACTAGACGGTGATATTGAGAACTAATTTTTTTAAAAAATATTTTTACGCATCTTAACACATTTATATATTTATTTTATTTCAATTTATACAATTTTAATTTTATTAAATAATATATCATGTTTTAATAAAGGTGTTATTTATTGATATTTGTTATTATAATTAACAATATACGATTATTGATTAAAAAGAGACGTACGTTTATACGTAGGAATTGTGACGATATTTAATGATAGAGACATATTAGTTCGTTAAATAGTGACGGAATTACGAGAATTTTAGCAAATATAATTTAACGACATCAATTCCGTTACTATTTAGCAACGAATGTGAGTAGACATAGTGACGAGAATAGATGTGAATGGATATAACGACAAAATGACAATAGATATAAGATCTCACATACGACTATTTTAGATCAATTTAACAATAAAAATTCAACAAATTAATAATGGGAAAAAATTTTGATTATTAAGAGAATAACGACCATCATATTAGCGTGAGAATCCATATAAAGGGAACTAGCAACATCGAGTCTTGATATTGTACAATACTTGAATGTTATTAGAAAATATAGTCTCCTTTTTATTGAAATCTCTTCCAATTGTAATTACATAATAAACTACTGAATAGGACGAGTTCTTCTTCTTTACAAATCCGTTATCTTACGGACCATGTGGTGATTGTGGTGGCCGCCAAAATTATTACTTTAAATGAAAAACTGTAAAAATTTTGAGTTTGTAAAATATTTTTAAAAAACTTATAAGAATTAGCTCGAATTTTATGGTGATGGTAAGATAGTTTTCATAAACCAATCTTCTATTCTAGTGAAATATTTACACAAAATAAAAACACACAAAAAAAATCTAAAAAGTATAAAATATTTCACGCGGAACGAATAATCCAAACTTATGTTTTTTTTATTGGCCCTCGTGCATTATTTTACATTGTTGAACGAACCTTCTAGTCCAAATGATGGATAGTCACGCGTTAAACATCTAATGGTGGCTACAAGAGATGATGTCCGCTATTTAGTCACGAATTCGGAATATATATATTAAATTAAGAAAGAGACCCTAACGTACAAAAACCGTATGAAAAAACAAAGGGTTTAGATGTAAGAGACTGAGGGAATTCAAGAACCAACTCTGTGTTGAGCCCACAAAAAAATAATAATAATAATAAAAAAAAGATCACGTAATACAATTATTAGGATTTAGGCTACATAATTAATTAAATGGTTTCTCTCGTCTCGATTTGATGCAAATCAAAAACATTTAAAATGGAAGACTAATTAAGCTTGAACTGTTGGACTGTCCTTCGTGGAACACAACAATTTATAAGACTCTTAGTTACAAATTAATGTATTAGTTACGGTATTTGAGTTTTTTTAAAAGGTATCTTTATATTAGTTTGTGCGTTAAATAAATCTAATAAATATTCTTTTTTCAGATAATTTTAAGAACACATTTTTCATAATAGCTTGGTCTATTGAAAAAAATTTAATAAATTTCTTTAAATATTAATTTTAATATTTGAAAAGAAAAGAAAAAAAAAGAAGAAGAAAGCCATTAAACTAACTCTTTGAAGTTAAGTTCTATTGGACTCAGAATAGAGAAATCAAACAGAAGAAGGCAACTTTAATATGGTTGTGTTGCCCAAGTAAATTTGAATGCAAGCTAGCAATACTAATTTGTTTTTTTCCCTCCGTTTGTTCCATCTTTCAACCATCTGAATAATATAATATGTGGGCCTTTCGAGCATCAGCAAGAGATTCATTCCATTAAAACATGAGCACTTGCTGACATATATAAGCGTACAAGTTTGAAAAGCTTTCTTGATGTCCGTGTACGTTCTAGACATTTCCAACTAGCAACTATCTTTGAAGATCCAACGATGAACAAGAACCATATTCTAGAATTATTAGTTGAAGTTCCATTTGACCTTGGCTGCTTTACTGCTCCCTTTTTTAATTAATCACGAAAATCAAAGAGTTATGTCAGGAAAATAAGATTTGGTCATTTGAAAATTGATAGTTCATTCCAAGCTGCGTACATCATCCAAAGGAACCAATCTTCATATGATACAAATATTGAAAATTCCAAATTATTTGAATATTTCTGCTTATCAATCTTGAAGGCACACAGAAGGTTCTCTTTAAAAAAAAAATTGTATCGATCGAGAGCTTATCAGATCACTATGTGGGGGATGGCCTGCAAAATTATAATTATAAAAATCATATTGATTAGAATGCAGGTTATTAAGCTAATTAAGTATGATGATTTTATAGATTTTTTTTTCACACCTTGGAAAATGAATTTGTTTTTGGTATCCTTTTCATTTTTTGGCAATCTAAGAAACAATTAGTTGTGCATTGTTCGTCGACCGAAGCCGAATATAAGGTTATGATGATCACTGCTAATAAAATTATTTAGCTTATACGATTATAATTTGATTTGAGTGTTCTTCATCCTAGTTTTATTTTTTTATTGTTCATCGTATTGCTATTAATCTTGACTTTCAGAAGTGCACCAAATGTATAAAGAAAATTTCTATATTGATTTTAGGTTGAGTAATTAATTAATAAAGAAAAATGAAGGGAGTTATTAGAGCATTACAGAATTTCTCAATTGAAGAAAATTTCAAAACATGCATGGTTCGTAGTGCACTTTCTAAGGAGTAAATATATTTGGAAGTTCTAGACTCCTACATAAAAAATGAAACAGTAAAATTTAAAGATTCAGCGTAACGCAAGACCCGTTTACCTCCTATTAAAAGAACTATGTAATATTTGAATATATATATATATATATTGCTTCAACATATGTTATTTATATATTTATATTTCCTCTTAAGTCAACTGCATTGATGTCAACTCAACTACCGTAGTTGTTCTACTTTTCAAGATAGAAAATTAGGTCTAAGTTAAACAAATGTAAAAGTTCAAAAGTGTTTTAGGAAAAATAAAAGATTAAGAAAAGCGTGCGCCAAATGACTTCCTGTTTTCCTTAGGTGTTAGTGACTAGCTAGCTTCTTTAATTAATACAAAAATAATGAGGCCAGCGTAGTTCTTCTTCTTCCTATTTGATCTCCAAATAAATACGTACCGACTCCCACCCACCACCGTAGCCATTGGGCATCATACAGCGACGAGTCACCAATTATTATAAACAAAATAAATAGTCCATTCACCTTATTTTTTCAAACATGATCCGTCATCGTGGACCTTTGATTGTCAAATTAATGCACAATAAACCATCACATAAAAAAAATGAGGAAATTATTATAAAATTTGAAGATCACCCGAATTTTCTTTGAAAAATGCTATTTACAATATGACTTAAGAAACACTAAAATTGACTGGCAAGTTTCTCGTTACGTTCCTCTGTTCAAACTTGGTCGCTAAGATGGGCCCTAACTCTTTGAAGAAATTTAGAACTTCTGTCAACCTGTCCCAGTTGCTGCGTTTTCCATGTTCATATTGCAAATTCATGCTATAAATACGTAGATCACAAGCATCTCCCTCTTCATTCATTTATCTTCACATAATTACTTCAAAGTCGAATCAAAAGAGAAAAGAGAAAATACGCCAAAGTAATTTGATCCAAGACATGGGAAAGCTAGCAATCAAGCTCCTCTTCTTCATCACTTTCTTCCTCGTTCTTGTTTCGCATATCCTCCCGATAACATGCCAAGAAGTTGGTGAGGCTGCCATTATCATGGCATCACTAGTCCATATTGATTTTGTTCACCACCCACGTATAGATAGATACACACACAAAATGATGAGATCAATGATATGAACCATGCAAGAGGCAACAGACATGGCCTTAGTTTTTAAGCTTTTTTGTTCAACTTTTCCATAAACTAGCATATTATTTCTTAACTAGCTATTACATTTTAAAGTAGTATCATATATACGCATTTGGTTTTCTTGGTCTTAATTAATTTAATTATTCATTTTAGTAGTTTAAAGAATTTTCAAGACAAAGCCTTTCATTTCTTGAACAAAATTTAAACAGAAAGCCTTGCAGCTTTTTTTTTTTTTTTCAAATTATGTATGAAGCAGCTTTGACGTGTATTAGTTACCAAGAACGTACCAAACATGCGACTAATTTATATTAATATGTTTGTTAATTGTTTCTTTTTTCCATTTGTTGTGGTGCAGAGGACGAGAAAGAGTTCAGTTATGATCCATATAGTGAGACAGGACCTGCTAATTGGGGAAGGATTCACCCTGAATGGAGTTCATGCGGCAATGGATCTATGCAGTCTCCTATTGATCTGTTGAACGAAAGAGTTCAAGTAGTGTCCCATTTGGGGAGACTCAACAGAAGTTACAAGCCTGCCAATGCCACTCTTAGGAATAGGGGCCATGATATGATGGTAAGAAAGGATTAGACCTATTATATTAAAAAATAAACTACGTAGAATTAATTACAACCTATCAATAACCTATTCCAGTTTCAATACCACATTGTCGGATCGGTATTGAATCCAATTCGTTTGTCTAAAAATAAGAAGAAAAAAGGCGTTATAAAATATTTTCAAGTATCATCTTTTAATGCAACTTCAAAAGATGATCATCATCTCATCTCTACAGGCTTGCAGCTATAGTTGCAAGCTTGTTTAAAAATCAATGTCATAATCATTTAAGGTGCAATTGAATGTGGTGTTTGGCGAGATGTGTTTATCTACCTATAAGCTACTAGATAGCTTTCAAATCAATAAATCTATATATAAACGTCTGTTTTTTCTTTCTCTGTGTATAATATTATTGTTTGCGGATGCAGCTCAATTGGGAAGATGGTGCAGGAACTATCGAGATAAACGGAACTGAATACGTACTCAAACAGTGTCACTGGCATTCACCTTCTGAACATACAATCGATGGCAAGAGGTATTTAATTCTCTTAAACTTTCCAATCCTTCACTTTCACTCTCTCTCTGTCTCTGTATTATATATATAGCACTAACTCAAAATCTTTCACATGTAACCCTATCTATAGGCTTGCTTTGGAGATACACATGGTTCATGAAAGCCAGGATGGCAAGATTGCTGTTGTTGGGATTATGTACACGATAGGAAGACCAGACTCTTTCCTGTCATCTGTAAGTTGCATACATATATCATATGTGTCTCTGTGTAATTACTCTCTCTTAATTCTCTCTAATCATATTTTTGGTTAATTAGTTGACAGAACAATTACAATCGGTTGCCGGCACCAATGAACGAGATACAGTGGCGGGCGTGGTTGATCCAAGGAAGATCAAGATAGGCAGCAGAAAGTATTATAGATACATTGGCTCCCTTACAATTCCTCCTTGCTCTGAAAATGTTCTGTGGACAATTGTTAGAAAGGTTTTGATCTTCCCTAATAAAAAATATTTAATAAACTTTAATTTTATTCATGATGTGACTTTTGTTCTAATTATTGCAATACACCCTAACAGGTGAGGACTGCCACAAAAGAACAAGTTCGGTTGCTTCGTGTAGCTGTTCATGATGTGAGTTCCCAAGCCTATTGTTGATTTCCCATATATAATATGAATAAATATATCGGAAATTAGAATTCCCTGAATATTGATTATTTCAATTAGGTTTTCTTTCTTGTAGTCTTGCTTGTTCATTATTGATGTTTGACGTTATACATATACTGATATCATCGTTTGATGAACATTTTGCAGGATTCAGACACAAATGCAAGACCATTACAGCCAATAAATAGTCGAACGGTGAAACTTTTTAGACCAGACGACAGGGATGACTAGATAAATTATTTCACGATTCATTTGTCTCGGGATTGCTGATTACACGAGAGAAGAGAATAACCACATACATATATAGAAATAAAAGAGAGTTTGTACTGATCACCAATCATTTTGGTGACATTAGATGATATGATTTTACTTCTTGTTAATTCTCAGGCACATGGTCCTGCTATAGCTTTCTATTTTTCATTTTAATTTCATCATTCATTTGTTGCCGATTATTATATATTTATACATGAAATAATTGACTTTATCTTCATCAATTTCAATATTGTGGATCTTTTTTAAAATTAACAGTTATTTGAATGTGATGCTTCTTCATCTTGCAATTTCTTGTAGTTCGACCAAACTTTTGTTCTCACTTTCAACTTTGCAAAATTCACATGTAATAGTGATTGCCCTAACCATTCTCACGAGCTTTCCTCTAGTTGTTAAACCACCAAGAATAGCTAACAAAGCCACAAATTAAGCTGTCTAAAGATACAAAAAGGACGCTGAAGTAGCTAACTAGTCCCCTCACCTACTGTTTCACCTCATAAAATCCCACAAACTTCTAAAAGTGAAGTCAGCATTAAGTGTCATTTTGTTACCAACTCTGTCTTTGAAGACTGTAGAAGGAAAGATAACCCCATTGGGCCACTGTTCTGTGTTGGTTTGCCTTCTCCGAAATAGGTTAGTCGGTGTAATGTGAAGAACCCCGAAACGAGGTTAAATATTTCCTATATCCGGTGATGCCATGACCGGAAGTAACAATAACTTTCAAATGCATTTTTGAAGGCCATGTACAAAAGCGTGATTGGTTTGATCATCATTAAGTCATTATATTAGGGAAGGACTGAAGGAGGGAATTAACCTCTCAGTACATTGGGATCATAGAAAATTTCGTTGACCAAAGGGTCTACTTGAACAAGACAAAGCAGCGTCCAAATGCAATCGTCAGCCTATTATTATTTGACAAGCCTCGGCGGATTATAAGGGATGAAAATGACATTTGACAAGTTTTGTCCTCTGATAGATATATAACCAAATAGGGACGTCATCCCTGATCTCTGTAATGGGAAAAGACATGAATTAATTGAAGAATCAAATTTAATTCTTAGAAGATGGTCAAAGTTTATCATCTATCACGTGGATGACTTTTCGATTTGTGGTCCAAGTTCTGATCATTCAAGAATGGCAATGTTTTGTTCCCTTGAATGGAAAAATAAGAAACAGAGGGGAAATGAAGAAGAACCCAAATGTTCCGTTCGATATACAAACAGATTGTGGGCCAAATAGGGGGAATTCTAGCAACAAAATTTATCAATCATCTAAAATCATGAATTAATAATCCTACAGTATATAAAAAAAACCTATACATATACTAAAACAAAATATAATTTCACTACAGTTAAGTTCATGTTACAGTGAACAAAATGGCATGGTTTTATAAAATAATAATAATAACAATAATAAGTAATTTATGGAACATTTTATACATTTTTTTACACTTTAAACTCTCGAGTTATACTTTTATCCAAAACGATTCTTAATTTTAATTTTCTTACGATAAGGTCTTTGTAATTTTTTTGATGGCTGGGCTGTACTTCCAGTCCTAGTCTATGGGCCTGATTATCTCCAAGTCCATACAGAAGGGCTTGATGTGAGCCCCAGCCCAGCCTCTTCTTTTTTTCCCCTTTTTTATGATTTTATTTTTTTCATTATTTATTATTTACTCAAAATAATTTTTTTCTCCATAATTAATGGTTGTGTTTTTTTATTGATTAATTAAAAAAAATGAACACTCTTATAATATAAATTGATTTAGCACATTTTCTAATTTAATTTTTTAAAATAAATAAATAATTAATTGCATGTTTTTTTAATTGATCAAAATAAACAATATTAAATTCAAAAAATATTTTTAGTACACATTAAATTAAACCAAATTTTACGATCAGTATTAATTAATTTTATTTTATGTCTTTAATTGTTTAAAATATTAAAATATATTATATGTACATGTATGTAACAATGCGCAGGTATGATATTAGCAAATATCTACACTACAGCAAACGACCAAGTGGAACAGATGACTGAGGTCGGCAAAGACTTGGAATTAAAAGTAAAAAAATAAAAAATGAGAGGAAAAAAAGCAAGAGCGAGCGAGAAAGATCGGTCTCCCATCTATCTTTTACATACAGATTGGAAGATCTACACTTCTGATCCACAATTCAGTGGCAACTTCTGCTTTACAAAGTTGAAATATATTTGGTACCTTACTAAAAACTACGAACAAAGCTTAAGAATTGATACTCCTGCCATCATCAATTATGTTCTTTGCTTGCAATCTTCCTGAGCAGTTGTCCAACAGGAATATTTATGCTCTGAGGAATTGCTGCCACCCCTACCTATCAATTTATGTCCAATCGTACCAGCAACCTGGAATCAAATATACAGTGAAGTTGAGGAATTTAACAGAAGAAATATGACTATTGAGCAAACTGTAATCTAACTTCCAAAGGAACAAAAATCTTTTCTGGAACTCAAAAAGCCACCGGTAAGGAGAATTTTTAACATATCTTCTAGTATCTACTTGATCATCAAAGTAGATCCAATTACTACCGAATATGTCTTACCAGATTAAAAACAAGCAGGCATTGAATAGTTATCCAGAATTGTTATCTTCAGTTTCTTCTTCGGGCGGTTCTCATCGTACCATTCTGACAAGAACTTTCAAGATATCTTCCATAGATGGCCTATGTAAAGGGTCCTCTTCAACACATGCCTTTGCCAAAACAGCTAAGCATAAGGCCTCGGCAAGAGGATAATCCTCCTTCAGATATGGATCCATGAAACTCCTCAATCCATCGAAACAGCCACCTTCACTAGTTCCTCCACCCAAAAATGCAATACATTCTTTGAATGATTTTCCATCAACGTCATCTTTTCGTGAGATGAGCTCAAGTAGAACAACTCCAAATGCAAAAATATCTACCTTGGCAGAAGCCGAGCCACCAACAACGTATTCTGGCGCAACCCATCCTTTGACACACTCTATATTTTCATTTCCTTTGGAAGAACCAACAGGAGGGTTGGTTCTGATATTTGTAAGCTTTGCCCTCCAATCTGTTGTTACAAAAATATTTCTAGTGTTGACACTCAGGTGAGCATAAGACGGAAAAATGCAATAATGTAGATAGTGAAGACCTGTAGCAATATCAAAAGCTATTTGAGTTCGTTTATCCCATGGAAGAGGATTCGATGAATTAGATAACAAGTCCCTCAAGCAGCCATTGCCAGGTAACTCGAACACGAGGTAGGACCAAGAATAGTCATTCTCTCCATAACAAACACCAAGCAAATTCACAATATTTATGTGGTTGATTTTTGAATGTATATCGATAACTTGGCGAGTCTCTTCAAATCTCATCAGCTTGATCATCATTTCTGCATTATCATTATTATTCAACCCCTTGTAGGCTTGATCCCCAATCTTTCTTTCTTTGCTGAAATCCTCTGTCGCTCTCTTGAGGTCCTCAACGCTATAGCTCCTCAAGGAATACATAATGCCAGCAAGAAGATCAGGAGATAAACAAGAAGTTGCTGAGCTTCTACTCGTTAATTGTCCCGATCTAGGCGAACTTCTAGGTGTTGAACATGAAAGTGGAGAGCTTCTAGTATTGAACGACTGTAACTTCACAACCTTACCTTTGCGTAAGGCCTTCACATACAGCCCACAAGCAATCAATGCAGCAAGTACCAGAGAAAACCCAACAACTGATCCTGCAATGTACAGATTCCTTAACTTTGTGTTGGTGGTTTTCTGTACTAAGATTGTGGGAAGAAAACCAGGACTGGGAGGTGGAGAGTGTGAGATACTGAAATTAATGACTGGGTGTTTTTTCAAGGGAATTAAGACAGTTGTGTTTGGATATATAGTAGGCCAAGGTTGAAAATGATTAGCGACCCATAAATCTACAGGAGAGATGGTAAATTTTTCACTTAGTATGCTTGGTTCATCACCTTCTACCAAAGGGTAGGTCACAAGGTACTTGACACCACCACCACTACTACTGAAATTATCTGGACATGCACAGTTCAAGGGCACATGAAGCTCAGTACCTACCTTAACTCTGTTTCCTTGAGATGTGTTTTCTTCAACAAGAGTACGCGGTTTTAGTAAACCTTCGAAAATTGTGCAAGCAATATCCGAGAGGTCAGTTGTACTGTTTTCTGGAACTGTGTAGTTGAAAGTTGCCTGGAAGAACTGGCCAAGGCAAGAACATTTGATCGGAACAAGAACTTCTCTACCTTGTTGGAGAAATTCCAGCGGAGATTTAATATTGTTTAAGAGAAGTAGCTTAGCAGGATCTACTTGTAACAATTGAGAGACATCTGAGATAGTCTTGAAATATCGAGTTGCTCTGTACACTAAAAAAGTATGGCATGAATGCTGGTAGGAATAATTGCAAGTGTATCTTGAACCTGGATAGCTGGTATTTGCCGAACAAGGCGACGGGTCATAGTATTGTTGAGCATTGATTGGATTGAAAAACAGAAAGATGAGAAACCAAATGAAGAACATGGTTTCTATCTGCAGCAAATTAGATAAGAAGAATATCGCTGATAACCTACCAAATTCAAGTCTCATCAACTACTTTTCAAAATTGGAAAACGCGTACTTTTTCACTTGATATAATCAAGTTGATAGTCTCTTTGGAAGGATTTAGGATACATTAATTTGACCTGTAACAAAATTAAGTTTAATATTCAATCATAGTATATGAGGTAAGGAAGTGATTGCTAGAATAATCACCTTATTTTATTAGACTAAACAACTGTTGCCCATATCAGCAGTCCAATATACTAATACATGTTTTGAAGAGACAGAAAGACCTCTTGAAAGAACCATTTGAAGCCGGCCAGCCAACATTTTATTTTATTTTAGGGGGAAGGAAAGTTTAAAACATGACGTCTTCTTACTGTATTCGATCTTTTCTGCTTGTAATTTTCTAACCAAAAGAACCTTCCTAACCACATTGTTCCTGTTCTTTCTTTGCTTTTCTCCTAGTGTCGGAACGGTACTAATCTGGTTCATTGCCATTCAATTCCCACTTGCATAAGATTCATTCCACTTTAATTCATTACCATCCAAACCCACGTTAAGCCATGCTGATCTGGGATAAAGATGTTATTCGTCCTTGTATTACTAAAACAGGTTCAACCAGATCCCTCTACCTACATAAGAGTTGATTGAATCCCCTCTACATCATCAATTGCTTACTAACATTCTTCTATTAGTAATATTGTTAAATGTATTAATAATGTGTCACGAGTGTTTTCATTTTCTTGACCATTCTTTATTTTTATTTTTATTTGTTATTTTAAACCTGTTTTTTAATATTAAACAAATTAAATAACAACACATATGAAATTATATTGGATAAATTACCTTATAAACATTATGTTTTTTTACTACCGTAAAATTTTACACTTCTATTTTCTAAAAATTATACTTTACATTTTATAAATTTGTAAAAATATTGAAGAATCCCTATATATAATAAAGCAACCTTTAATGCCAGCTATGTATTTTCTCAATTATGCTCGCCCATCGGTCTCTCCCTTTTCTCCCTACCCTCTCGTGTCTCTTTCTACGAAACCAAAGAGAGAGACATGTGCCTCACAAATGACAACACCATACCACGCCAAACGACTAGTCTCTCAATTTTACAATGAAAATTCAAGTGGTGGGGATCTAGTCGGTGGTGGTGATTTGGGTAACTTTGATAGCAATCGATGTTGGTAATTGTGTTAGGGGAAACGATTACGGTGGACGGCGATGGTGAGCTATTGGTGTTAGAAGGAGATGAAAGATAATGGTAGAAAGAGGCAAATGACTGAATTATTGTTGCAAAAAGGATGAGGGTTATTTTCCTAGAAGGGTAGTCTTGTTGTTATAAAAATTATAATGACAAACTTATAATAATTTGAACAAATTTTTTTATAGCAGAACCTAACGTTTATAAACAAAATCAAAATATTAAATGTTTTCTGAAATTAAAATAAAATTTATGTGGTATAATGTGTAATTTTAAAAAGTAAGAGAGTAAAGTATTACTGCATTCCAAATATAGGATTTTAATGTAATTTATCCAATTTTATTTTAAAAAAAAAAAAAACAAAAGAATACAAAGCCAAATGCACTAAATATTTTTTCTTAAAAAAAATCAATCAATAAAAGAAAAAAATAGTTAAAAACACAAAGCCAAATTTACTTAAAACTGAATCAACAAAAATTATTTATACATATTTGTCTTTAAGGGAAAATTATGTTAAACACCATATGTTTTGTGTGTGATAACACTTAACATTTTATATTTTTATAAATTATATTTCATATTCTAAATATTTGAATGTTATCTCTAAAAACATTTTATATTTTAATTTTATTAATAAAAGCAAATTTTTGATAAAAACAAAATACGTTCAAATTATCACAAATTTATCATTAAACTTTTCCAATGCCAAAGATGTCATTTTGAAAGCATTTGTGCCTAAAAAAAAAAAAAAAAAAACTATTTTGAGGATGACTATTCGAGCTAGGCCTATATAATTTCCAAAAACTCTGAATTGCAAAACGCCCTTCCCTTCCTCATTTTTCAATCATAACAAACACTGTTATTATTTTTTCAATGTCAACTTCATCCTATAACAATGCTGAATCTATCTAAATATTTTTCGTTAACTATCAACACCTCCACAATGCTGAATCTAGATACCCATGAATCTGTCTAAAAATACATTGGACCTCTTATTTCTGACTGCCATTGTTCTAGACCTATGTAATTTGGGGTTCCAAGCGTCTAAGACATATCTAAGCTTGGTAATGGAATTCCAAGTAGCAGGTAAGGAAACCAACATCCCGTAGAATTGTTTAATCATTTTCATTAAGAAGGAAGTTACAAGGTTTAAGGTTAAGAACTAGGATTGCTTTTGCATGCAACTCTGTAATTCCCTCAACCAACTCTACCAATACTTGTAAACACAAGTAAACAACGAGTGTAGATTGTTCCTTACATATATAGTAATTTAGATTTTAAGAAAAAAAATAATCAATTTACCTCAAAACATTAAGCAAAGACAGTTTTTCTCCTTTAATGCGAGCCATATTTTACCCAACTAAACCCTCATAAAACTTGGGTTAATCGTATTAATCGTCTCTTTACTTTACTGTTGTTATGATATTTTTAATGTGACTCCTATATATTTTTTTTTATTCAATCTTTTTGTATATTTTTCAATTTTTATTAATGTAGCCCATTCGATTGTTTTTTTATTAATTTTTTTGATCAAAACTAACAGGTAGCATAAAATAATAACATGACATGACCTATCATTTTTTTTTTTCTATGCAGAAAAAACAAAAAAGAAAAATTTCATTCTCTTCTCCCACTTTCGACTAACCCATCCATTTAACTATATTAAGATCCCTTGATAATTACCATCTCATATTTAATGAATTATTGTATACCACTAGATAATCAAAGTGAGATCACATTTGCAGTAACAATAATTAAAAAGATGAAGATGAAGATAAAAATGAAATCACAAGTAGAGATTTGTACATGATTATTGGATGGATTTGTGCCTTAAAAAGATACTGACTAGCCAACTCTTCAAAGTCTCCATTTATCCCACGTGTACCACTCAACTCTTTTCTTGCTTCTTCCTGTAAAGAACGAAGCAAAGCAATGACCATAATCTAAAAGACTCAAACTTTTGTCCTCTCTGTTTTAATCGAAGTTGAAATAATTAAAGATACAATTGAAACAATTAAAAATTTTAGGACTAAAATTAAAATATAAAAGGTCCCGATTGCAAAATATAAAATAACTAGGGACCAATATCACATGCCAAAAAACCTATTTGGGAAATTTGAAATATGCCAGAACTAAATTGAAATTAGAGAGCGAACGACAGGATCAAAAATTGAGCGAATGACCTGTCATTCACTTCAACCCAGAACCAATTCTACCATACTGTTCATGGTCTTCTTCTCAACAGCACAAATCTTTTTCTTGCCAAAATTCTTGGCTGGGATTCATAATAGCCAGGAATCGCATTTCATACCTGCACCGCTACACCACCTGCCACCACAGAAAAAACCAAAAACTACAAACACATTTCATTTTGACTTTGATTTTTGTTTTGTTCACAGACGGTAGAAAACCCACAGTCAATTTTGACTTTAGAAATTGAGTTTTTAATCAATTGGGGAACGATCCTAGGGTAGGAATTTGTTAAAGTTCGGCTATAAATTGAGGTAAATTAGAGGAAGTGAGACAGAAAGAGACATTAGAGAGAGAATAGAGAAAGAGAGGATTCTGGGTTCTTAAGTTTCTGAGTTTTTCTTTGGTTTTTTGGGTTTTAAGAACACTAGCAACCCAGCTCTTCAAGCATCTATCCAATCCACAATCACCCCTAACAACACACTCCACAATCCCTAGTTCACGTAATAACTCACAAACCCACCCACCAGTCATCATCATCCATCATCTACGATAGGGGAAATCAACACAACAACATCCAGTACATTGATCCATCCTAGTTCCAAGCCTCACTGAGGTAACCCTCATCTCATCTTGTATTTGGTTAAATCCACTCATTGCCTAGTTTATTGCCAAAACAAGTAAAGAAAAAAATGGCAGTGATAATCATGAGCCCAGTAATTCAACATCTTTAATCCATCAAAGATGGGGGAAACAGAGAAGATATCCTATTTCGATAGTTAGATTAAGAGCTGTTTGGGTGTCGTTGGGGAAATTTCATTCAAAGGAGAATGAAGTTCTTGAGAACTCGACAATTGGACATTCTGTCCAGGAAGAACAAGAGAGATACAGAGAGAGAGGGAGGGAGAGACTCGTTATTTTTCAATTTAAACAAGTTGGGTGTTGAAGAAGGAAAGAGAATAAAAAAGGCCAAGGAAAACGAATTTAACTGGGTCTAGCCCAGTGCGAAAGAGAGAGAGAGAGAGAGAGGGGGGGGGGGGGGGGGGAAGATGGGTTGGGTATAACCGAACACAGAAAAAAAGAGAGAGAGAGAGAAAAGAAGGTTGTCCAGTGGGCTTCGCCCAGTCCGAGTTGGCTTGACCCAGTAAGGCTGGCTGAATGGGCCAAATGCCCATTAGGCTCAAAAGGCCCAACACTCCCAATTTAGCCATTTTTCTAGATAAATCAACTCTGAAATTTTAATACATGCCTTTTGTTTCAAGCCTAGTTTAGATTTAATACTTTCAATTTTTAAGTTTCTTACATTTATTTATTTATTTAGTCAATATTTAGTTTTTAGGTTTTATTTTGATAATTATATTAGATGATTAATAAGTGAATGAGTCATCAAGTCTCTTAATTTATAGGGATGAATGACAACTCCCTACTAACAAAAAAATAAAAAATGATAAAAAGATAAAAAGAAAGAAGTAAAGAAAAATAAAAAAATGATTAAAAAAAGAGTGAACAAAGAAAAATAGAAAAAAATTAACAAAGTCTCATATTCAATAGGAACTGATTTTAGATCAAATCGATCACAATTTAGTAATTAGGTCGTTCTTCGACATACCGATCATGTTAAGATTTAAACTAGATCCGATATTGAATTGATGAGACTTTCGACGATTGATTCAATATAATGCCACAAACAAAAATAAAACAATCAATTGGCTTAGAAAATAAAATTTGAAATTTTGACTTATAATTAATTTTGGAAAAAATAGAAATTTTTAAGAGATAAACTCTAAGACTAAACCAAACGTAGTACATTTCCTAGAAAATGATGATTTTGGGTTATTGATATCTTTTCAAAGACATAATCATCTCTTTACCTTAGAATATTTGAACTAGATTTCATTTTAAATTTTTAGTTACCTTTAATACTAGGTGGTGAGTCAAAATTAACTCATATTCCCAAACAAACAAAATTTTCAACAATAATAATAATAATTAAAATTTCAAAAGTCTCATGAAAGTTCGATAATGACGAGTTAGCAATATATTGTGAGTGTTGTTCGTGTACGATTCCATCTAGTTTGAAATTTTGTTGTATGTTATAAGGGTGGTAAATCAATGGTGAAACCTACCATACGTTTGAAATTGAAACCTCGTTTGCTTGTTTTCCTTTTCTCTTTGTTGTTTGCATTATCGATTCTTGAGGCCATCTCTTCCGAGTAATAGATTTTCATGCATTTGTGTATTTAATCATATTATGGATAAATAAATAAAAAATGTTGCTTTATTTTATTTATTATTGATGATATTAACTTTTTTTCTAATGTGTCATGCATGTCTAGATTTATCGGTTCAATGGTACCTCAATCATACTATTCTAAGTTAGGTTCCTAGTTTGTTGATTTAGTTGTCGTCATGTGCATATAATTTTAATTTATGTTTTTGTTTTCTATTTGATAAAAAATTAAATATTTTTTGAAACCTTATTCCTTCATTCTTATTCTTTATTTGACATATATGGTTAATGATTACTTGATCTTTGTATAATTGTTATCTTCGTAGATATACATATTTCATGCATAAAAAGTACTTCTCGTTGATTCGGGATTGAGTCCCTTTCTCTTCTTCCTCTCCTTCTATCCTCTCTCTTCTTTTGTTACATACGAGTGAGTGATTCGGCTAGATCTTTACGATCCCACATTGGTCCATTAAGTATGAGTGAAGCCCTTTGGGCCTGCTTAATAATCAATCGGGTTTTAATTCCTTGTCTTTTACCGCCATTCGGGTCCAATAGCTGTTCATGTAAAAGTGAGGAGTAGGGCTTTTTGCTGATCTAATTTTCGTATAGCTTGACTTTAGGATTGATTAGTTTTGAACTTAATAACTAACACATCCAATAAGTATAGACAATTAGACATAAAAAGACCATAAATAACTATTATATGACAGCATGCAATGCAGCATATCTACTATAAGACATAGAATGGTAATTATCATCTTTTCTTTATACATAACTAATTCATTAATCGTGATTTCTTTATTGATCAATTTTAAGTTTTTCTTTTTTTAAATTATTTTAATATTAGATGGTGACTCATTTTCTTGTCTTTTCTCTTTGGAGCTCTTCATCGAACCTCTTTCTTTGACAACCAATAAAACAATATCAAAAATTGAAAATAACCCACGTATAAATTATACTGAAATTATGAAGAATATGACATACGCACCTTTAAGAAATGAACAAGCCTTTCTTTTGCTGTTCTCATTTTCTTCTGATTGCAATTGTTATTGTAGCACAAGGAAAATCAAACATAGCAAAAGCCAGTGAAAGGTCTAAATTATAAATAAATAAATAAAAACACAAAAATAAAAACTCAAAAGATTTTACATTAATTAAGCCGGAAGCTAGATAGAATATTTTTGTCTTAAAAAAAGAAGAATTCCGTATTTATTACATGAGTCGATAGCGAGAGAAAGGGAAAAAAAAAAAACAAGGAAGTCTGGAAATACTTAGATTTTACGAAAGCAAGCTCGACTTCTCATATGACAATTAACAACGATTAATTTTACAATTTTCTTTTATGGTGAGATGACTGATATTTTTTATGACTAATGTTGGATCAAGCAAATACTTAGATTATTTATTTATTTATTTTGCAGCTCGGTTGTCACCATTCAGGCAATCAAAGAGTCATGGTTGGTGTTTAGTAATTAACGAAACAGAGAAATATCATTACTTATTTAGCACCACAACACCACATGGGACTGAGTTGGCCACCAAATAAGGTTGTCAAGTTTCAAGGGCGACTTTCGCTATGTATACCACGTGGAGGTTTCTAAAGGCCGAAACGCCTCTGGGAGCATTAAACCATGCATTGCCTTCCAAATTAAATAGAGATGCTATTACTCAAGCTGAAAACTAGTTGGTCAAGTGATGAGATAATTTAATATCTCTTACTCAAAAACAAATATATATTTGGTTTGAAGATTCTGGTTCAATTTTAGATAGTCAAAGAAAAAAAATTAACTAATATGCATACATTTTATTAATGATATGTACTACTAAACAAGAAATTGTCAATATTCATGACATGTTTTTGATGTACGCAAATGATTTAGAATCTAACATTTGGATAGAATACAAGGACTGAAACGCTGGTATAAAAAAATGAACTCGTAACTTAATAGTTTAGAGCTCATTGGTTAAAGATGTGAGACTTTTGATTACCTCAAGAATATCGCAAATCGTTAGTTTGAAAAATAAAAATATGCGTTATTGCTTTGACAGATCATAAGTTTTGATGTGAAAATTCGATTTAAGCAAAACTTATCAATTTGAAAAGCTAATTCAAAACATTATGGTGACTGCAAAATCTTAATTTCAGAGTCTATTTTTTAGTTCAAACTCTCCTCCGAAAGTCCAATTCCAAGGCATTTTTATTATTCAATCTAAAGAACTAGTCCAAATTGCTTCTATTTCAGAACTACAGCTTTTCTATTTATTCCTTTTATTTATTTTTATTTTTTTTAAAAAAAAATATTTTTCTGGATTGATATTGGACCTTGATCAACTAGCTAGGACGTACAGCTAGATAAGCTGTTTAGTTTTGTAAGCCTTTGACTAGCAGCTATCAATTATTTAGAAATTACAGACTTTGTGATCAGTTTTTCAATAGTTTTGTTGCATTTATTTTTTAGTTAAAAAAACCTTGTATCTATTTTCTATACGATGCTTCAGTTAAGATAAGTACGTGTCTGTTCGTATATGTAAGCTCTTGTGTTTGCAAGCTTATAAAAATGTCAATAGACTCCCTAATGCAGATCTCTCTACTGAATGGTTGTGGAGTTGATACGTGGTTGGCTTGGATACAAGTGAATACAACATCTGGTTAATGGAAAAAGTTAATAGATATCCAAAATTCAATTAAATGATAGATTTTAAATAATTGAAACACTTATTTCAAAATAATAATAATAATAATAATTAAAAACTAGACGCCTAATTGTAGAAATCACCATAGTTCAGGCACTAAAATGCCTATTGTCTCTCTTATGATAACCAGTGGTGAAGTCGTGGGGGCTAGAGAGGCAGTCACCTCCCATAATTAATAATTCCTAAGATATATTTATTGTATCGTAACGACTGCCTCCTAAAAAAAAATACTAATCATGTATTGTATAATATTAATTTTCTATGAATAGCTACTAAAAAGAATATTACTGATACTTGTGTAAAGTTGCAAGTAAATTCTAATTATATACAGCATATCGTAATGTTTGTTTGTTTACTAATGGATGTTAAAATGAAAATTAATAATAGTTTGAAGCTCACAAATAATTTTTATCCATAGAGTATTTTAAAATTGACAATATTGAAAAATTATCAATTTTAGAATTATACCAATGATTGGCATATAATTAAGAAATTAAGTCGAGTATTTATATCCTTGTTTAAAAAGAGATTGATGAAGTTTTTTTGATATTAATGATTATATAAACTGATGAGTTTAATTTGCGTGATGAAAGGGTATGAAGTACAATTCAAGATACTTAATAATAAAAGGGGGAATTTTGTAAGGATGTTTTCATATTTTAATACTTCTCATTTCTCATTTTTATGGATATTTAGGATTATTGCTCCTTATCTTTTATATTTTATGTTTACTGAATTCTTTAGGTTTTTTTTATTGACAAAACTTTAATTATCACATGAATCATTTTATTCATCTAACTTATTTTTTAAAACTCTATTTAAATCTTTTTCCTGTCCTTTATTAAATTATCAACTCTTTCATTTATGATAATCAAAAATTTGATGACACTTCATACGAAGTTGGTTCATACATGTAAGAAAATTGAAATTCTTTTCATTTTATTTCGTTAATTCTTGATATTAATTGATAAGAAATAAAAAATAGCTTCATTCAAATTAATCATTTTTACTAACAATTTTACATATATTATAAGTAAAAAAAAAAAAAAGCAATAGAAACTAGAATGAACAGTATAGTAGCAATAAATGTGAGAATATTTATTTTTATAATCTCATCGTCTCGTTTTTTTTTAACTTCACACCAATTCGGGATTTAATCTCATAAGAGATGATAAATCTTTGGCCCCTAAATTGAATGGGATGAATTCCATTTTGATGATATCCAAATCAGATCAACATCAAGTTTGGAGGGGCCGGCTAGCCTGAGCCATTTCAATAATCTCTTTTTGCTGGTTGAGTTATAATAAAGCCCACAGACTTTTCTACTAGAAAGTCAGGGTTTACCATGTGTATGTTTATTAAAATCGATAGCGTATATCATATCCTAGATTGTTCAAAAAAAAAAAAATGGATGCTGAATCAAATTCGGAATAACAACATACTTATGTGCATAGGTGCATATAATATCTTCAAAAATATATAAATTATAATTATTCCGTACAATCATTCAGTCATCAGCACTAGTAAATAAAAGAAAACATGTTAACCACCAGCTCATATACATTCAATTGTAGTGCATGTTATTTAAATAAAAGAAAGGTTTTGGTGTACTTTTCTGTCATATAAAAAGTTTCAATACACATGAAATGAGAAAATAGATAAATTCATATACCAGATCACATGAGGAACCTCTTGATTTTGCAAAAAACTTGGAGGGGTTAATTTATAATTATTAAGGGGTATGACTGAATAATTTATATAACTATAGACCAAATCAAACTTTGGAGGCCTTGTTCAACTCCGCCTTTATTGCTTCAATTTAATCAGTTTTAGTTGAGCGGTTGGGGTAGTTATGAAAGTGGCTAGCACGGCTATTAAAAAAAAAAATTTGTACTAGTACATAATAAGCTTTAACTACGTCATAATAAACATTTCAAAAAAAAAAAAAAAAAAAACTAGCCAATGGTCATATATATATATTTTTTAAATAATAATAATAATAAATGTACAAAACAGGTTGACTATACATCCTGAAAAAACCCATTGCATTTTTCATATTCTAAAAAATATATACAGTTGTAGGTAATTGAAAACTGTTATATCAGTTTTTCAAGAAATCAAAACAAAGACTGAGTAGCATAGACAGAGAGCATGACGGATTGCGCATGTTGATTAAGACTCGCATCGCACGTGACGCAAAGAGTTGAACAAAACGGTTGAACCGCATTTTGGTTGTGTCTTGTAGTGGAGAAAAGTGAGCTGTGTTTACTTACGAAGCGGAGTGTTTTTAATGCAAAAGAAACGTAATGGAGTGGGTATTTTTGATATTATAAATGTTGTGGTCATCCAATTGGCTCTTAATTATATTTTTAGTAAGGTAAGATTAGTCCCTTTTCACCGGTGGGTCGGCATTTAATTAGCCGTCGAATGAGTTGCAACCATCTCCGATACATATTTTCATGCTTTCGTTTAACGCGGACAAGAGTGGGTGTCCACTATCTAGCTTAAGTACCCTCCTCCTCCCCTCTATTTGGGTTTTTAGGTCCAATGAGCTTCAGGACTCGCTCTTCTCCTTTTCCTTCATCATCGTTCCTCAATTTTTAAGATTACAACCCAAAAATGTGGGAGTTTCTCGTCATATATATATAAAGAAGAGTGGAGTTGTTGAAGAGAGTAGCTTACGTATATTCCTGTTTTTGGACATAATTAAATGGCTAATATATTCATATATGATATGATGTATTACGACATATTATATATATATAACGCTATATTTTATAAATTAAGTTGGCTTTTCAGACAAAATATTTAGGGTATATTTCAATTTATTCTCCTAAGGTTTATAGGGTGTTTTAATTTCATTTTAAAATTTAGGTTTTCATAGGTTAGTCCCCTTAACTTTTGTAGTAGTGTCAATTTTCTTCTTCCATCCATTTTCATTGTAACAGTAATTAAAAAATGTGTAAATTGAATAGAAATTTTTGAAATATCACAAAAACACCCAAAGAAAAAATCAAAAACTTTTTTAAAAAATGAATTGCAATTAGAAAAAATAAAAGCATAAAATAAAAAAGGCATATATTTGTATAACAAATATGAGCGAGACTTAACGACGATAGTTTCTCAAAAAATTTCCAAACCATATCAATTTTAATTCTCACTCACCAACAACAACAATAACAACAATTTTTTTTTCTTTTTGTCCACGCTACAATTAACAAAATTCAAAACTTAAATGAATTTAAATCTTTGTCTCAGTTTTTCTTCTGAAGCTTTCACCCTTCTAGTCTCTCTCTCTCTCTTCGTTGTGCAATACTAATTGTAAGGCTTTTTATGAAGTTTGGTGCACCCAACAGGAAACCCTATCCCACCATGTGAAATCCATGAATAAATGTTGTCCTGCCATTATTGGCTTGCATTAAACTTAAATAATCAACACTCCATTACTATAGTTGAAAATATGGTGGAACATTGCTGCATAAAATGTTTTCTTTTACTGAGAGGAATGATAGGTTGAACTTAAATTCTTAATCGTTGTTCGACGTAAAGGTTAACAATGTCTGTATGGTGTGAACTTTTCGGAGTTTTTAGAATGGTCCAAAAATGTGAGTTTTTTTAATTGAAAACATAGTTGCTAGTGAAATTGTAAGAAAAAACAAACATAACTTATACATCATATTTATATAAGATATAATTACAATAATAAAAAGAGAGAGAAAAAAAAACCAAACCGACTTTAAAAGCTCTAAATTAAGTTTCCGCGAAAAGGTCGAACTTGGCATTACAAATTTGTTTGGTATGTGGGACGACCTTGTATTCAAATTTTGCTTATCAAATGAGTTTGGATTTGCCTTGTTTGATTTTTTTTCTTAAGTTCTTTTCCAGCGTAAGGATGGAAAAAAATAAATCAAAATCATGTGTTTTTAAGGTTTTGTGGGGTGGTTGCTCAACACATGAGCTTCCTAATTAGCTAAAGAAGAGATGGAGGTCTTGTAGAGAGTTTTTGTGATATGGAGAGCTTCTTGCTCTTGAACTTCCTAATCAAAATCATATTTTTGAACTTCGGAAGTTCAAGAGAAGGAAGCTCGTCCATATCAAAAAAGGTCTTGAAAGTTTAAGAGAAGGAAGTCGTCCATATCACAAAAGCTCTCTACAATACCTCCATCTCTCCTTTAGATAATTAGAAAGCTCATGTGTTGAGCAACGTTTAAGAGAAAGAAGCTCTCCGTATCGCAAAAGCTTTCTACAAGACCTTCATCTCTCTTTTAGATAATTAGGAAGCAACCGCCCCACAAAATCTTAGAATTTGTAACTTTCAATAATCAAGATTTTGTACAACTTTCTTGTAAGTATTTTCTTTAAATATAAGTTCTATTTATAATTTTATTTGTACATTAATCGGCGACTAGCTTTACCACCCGAGCTTTATTTTCTTTTAATTACATTACATTAATTGTCGCCGACTCTACCATTCGTATGTTTTTATTTTATTTTATTTTATTTATATTGTTTATATTGCAATTTCATATTATTGTTTCAATTACATATTTGCATTGCATTTCTTTTACATATTTATATTGTTACATTGCATTAATATTAACCGTTGATCAATTGACCTTTATTATTATTATTATTATTCATAATTCATACTCGATCCTTTATTTTATATTGGCATTAGAGCCTTGTAGGATTAAGATTTGTTCTAAAATCTATATTTTAATTCACATTATTTAGATATTCCTCCGTTATTTTGGAAGAGTGGCCTCGATCATAACTCCTAGGGAGGCCATAAATCCATTGGTTTAGCTCATCTTACTCGTAGAGAATGATTTGAAGTAATAGTTTTAAAATATGGATTTATGTTCTAAAACTCAATCTATCTCCAACTCTTTTACCTTTGGAATGGAGGAGAAGATAGTGAATAGTGAATAATTAATAATTGAATTTTTTTTAAAAAAAAAATTGTTGATTGGCAAAACCCTAAGGTTCAAAGAGACTAAATTTATAAACAAAGTGAATATAATTTATTCTCAAAAATAGATTATACAATTAAAACTAAAGAAACATATATACATTTAACAAAACCTTTTGAAATAATTAAACTTTTCTCGCAAACATTCCTTAACAAACATAAAGAAAAGAAATGCAATTACATTCACATTAGGTTAGTTCAAGTAGTATAAAAACCCCTTACAAGAGAAGGATTAAATACATCAATCCTTACTCGTTTTTAGAGATGCTCGATTCTATGATTTTCAAGATTTTTTATTCGGTTCTATAGAATTTAGCTTTTGTAATGGTCCAATTTCCTTCGATTTCTAACCAAATTTAACAATTTCTTTAAAAGACAAAAATATTCTTGATTGTGTTATCCTACAAATCAAAACTCATAACTACAAAATGAATTTAAGATCTATATCGATTGCAATAATTTACAACCTTCACCACAAAAATATGGTTACGAGCTTTACTTCTAAGGCCCTTATCCAAAGCCAGAAAAGTGAAACAATGCTTCTACAAACCGATCTAACCGGATCCAATGTCGTGATTCCAAAACCATAAAATGGAGAGACGTTTCTCTCCCAAAAGAATGGATCCTTGAAGTAGCTACAAGACCTAAACCAACATATCCTATAAGCGGAACACAAAATTAAAAGAAATCACCCAATATCCTAATGGTAAGGTTAAACTCTCATTTGTTAAAAAATCTATAAATGCTAGGTGTTCGACAATGCTTCTTCTTTAGACACCATGAACCTAAGTAGAATTTCAAAATTGCCTTTTACCATATACCTTTCTTATCATCCACATAGACACTCTACTTTTGAAATTCTAACCACACTATAAAATGTTAATTATACAAACAGTATTCCCGGACCTATTTATACAACTCGACATGAAAAAAGCCCTTCACCACCCACATCTCTATCATGTTCTTTTATAACCGAAAACATCAATGTTGAATTGAATGTTTTAGAAAAAGAATTTGAACTGGATAAAACCTACTTACACAAAAAAATTTTACTCCTCTCATAATGAAAAGAAATATATATATTGTTTTTTAAACATTTTCTTGAACAAAGACAACAAATCTAACAATTTTTTTATGATTTTGTTCAAAGTCATCGAGTCCATATTTTATTTTTTGATTGGTTTGAGATCTATGCTTTTGAAAATAACATTCATTACCCTTTTCATGTTATCCAAAACAACAACCAAAAGACTATTTAGAAAACAATCCAAGGTGAACAAATGGATTCGAACACCCACCTTTAAGATAATTAAAACTATCACATCATCAACACACAATCCTTACAACACCTTTTAAAGTTCATAAAGAAACCGATCGTGTATCTCCTAAAGATATTAAAAATATCATGGAACAAAATAATTTTACCAATAACTATCTCTACACCATAGGTAATACACTTACTAGAATTGAACAAAATGTCAAAAACCCAAATGTGATTACATAAAAATCCCCGAACTAAAGATTAAAAATCTCATCTTCGAACCCTATAAAGTTTCCAATACTAGTAAAAATCAATTTCAAAAGGCCAATAAATTAGAATTTCTCCAAGCCATATAACAACAACTTAATAAACTAAAAGAAACACGAGTAAACCCTTTTTGCATCGAAACTCCTCAAGGTTCTCACACTATAAATGCCCTCGAAACCATATCAAACGATGAAAATGCCTTTCAAGAAGCAACTCTTTCCTTAGAAATAAAAAAAAATACATTGGAAAAATGCCCAAGTTGTCTTATTATCTAAGGTTTATTATGCCGGATTTTGACATTGAGCAAAAAATCAAACATCCTTTTACAATATCGTTACAATGCTACTTCGTCTATGAATGAAATATAGATGGAATGTCCGAATACAACATCCTTAGTTTTTTTACCAATAAATGACCATGGATGCTAATGCTTATAAAACATAATATTTTATTTCTAACCAAGTCATTATAGACCTACTTATAACAAGTTTCACTAGCCAACTTAAAGGATGGGGGATTACCATCTTACACCTCAACAACAATTTGAAATCCTAAAAGTTGTTTGTTTAGATGAAAACGAACAACACATCCTTGATGAGAATGGTGAACCCATACAAGACGTTGTAGCTACACTCATCTTAGTTATTTCCTTACATTTCATAAGAGATCATTCTCATCTCAAAGACAAAAATGTTGAACTATTATCAAACCTTAGATGTAAAATGCTTAGCAATTTCAAATGGTACAAAGATAAATTTCTTACTAGAATTATGTTGAGAGAGGATTTAAACCAACCATTTTGGAAAGAAAAATTCTTAGCTTGTATTCCTCCTCTTTTAGAGAAAAAGTTAAAAACAAAATTAGGAAAAATTTTGGTGATCAAATTTTATACCATAAATTAACTTGTGGCCAACTTATTAGTTTTACACAAAACAAAGGATTAAAAATTTATCAATATTTAAAAATACAAAAAAAAATTAAAATAGGATCATTTTGTCAAAAGTTTGATATTTCTTCATAACCACCTTCATCTAGTTCATCCCTTTTGTGCAGATTGTAAAACTAAGCGGAAATCACATTACAAAGAACAAAAACATTCAAAGAAATACCACAAAAGAGAAAAGACCTCTACATCTACAAAAAAATCCCACTATAAAATTTTAAAACCCCACTACAAATCTAATTATGAAAACATCACTTTTACAAATGTGGTAGAAAAGGTTACACCTCTAAGTATTGTGAGATCAATAAAAAATTACATGAATTATAACTTGAGAAATAAGTACTCAACAAAATTGAAGCCCTTCTTATTGAATCTTCCGATTTTGAAACAACACCTTTAGATTTTTTTTGAAAATGATGACTCATTACAAATAGATCAAATTGCAACCACTTCGCATTCTAAGACGGAGCTTGAAAAACAAAGCGATGTCCTCACCGGAGATCAAAATTTCTCCTTAACATTATTAACCACATCCAAGACCCAAAACTCCAAAAAGAATGTCTCAACAAACTACAACAAAGTTTTAAACAATCACCTCTTCCAACCTCTCCTCCAAACAGCATCTACAACCTTACCACAATCCTTAACAAAGCCAAAAGGACAAAAAGTCATATCACTACTATACAAGATCTTTAAGCATAAATTTTAACCATAAAGCATGAACTTCACCAACTCCAACAAAAGCAAAACAAAGTTCTAAATGATATAATTTCTCCTAGCAAACCAATCATTTGTTACAAAAATTAAAGAGAATTCGATAATGAAAGTGAAAAGCAAAACTTAGAAATTTCCAACATAGAGAAAATTCTTAAAGATTTTTTTTATGTATTTTAAAATAAATTACATCCTAAAAATATTGGATAAAAATCACTTTATGTTTCTAAATGAATTTAAATTAGAAACTATTACCCTTTTGATACGAGAGCGAGATCTTAACTCGTATTAAAGATGGAATTATACCCTAAAAAATTCTTGAACATATAAATGAACGTCTAAATGCTGTAAAAAATTCTTCTTTACAAATTAAATCAATGATAGAAGCACAAATCCTTAACAATGGTTTTCTCATTAATACCTCATTTGTTATCGTAAAAGAAATACAACACACATTCATATTATAAATTCCTTTTATTAACATGATCACCCCTTACAAGGTCAACCATGATCATATTTCTATAAAAATTAGAAACAATAAGCTAGCTTTCCCTTTTATAGTAAAACCAAAAACTAAAAATATTAATATTATTAAAGCCCACTCCATCTATGAAAATCAAATAAATTGTCTTATTCAAGGAAAACAAAAGCAACTCAAAATTTTACAAAAAAATATTTCTTTTCATAGGATTGAAAAATAATTATAAGATCCTAATCTTAACAAAAAAAAAAAAAATGAATTCCGAAACCATGTTGAAAAGGAAATATGTGCTGATCTACCATACACCTTTTGGTCTAGAAAATAACAAATGGTTGATTTACCTTATGAACATGATTTTTACGTATCACAAATTCCTATAAAATCAAGACTAATCGAAATGAATAAAGAACTAAAACAACATTATAAGAAAGAAATTCAAGACCTCTTAACAAAAGGACTAATTTCATAGTCTAGATCCCTATGGAGTCGTGCTACCTTTTATGTCAACAAGAAGTCCGAAATAGAATGAGGTGTTCTAAGGTTAGTCATAAATTATAAACCTTTAAACAAAGCTTCAAAATGGATCAGATATCCTATCCCAAACAAAAAAGATCTTTTACAAAGGTTACATAATACTCATATTTTTTTACAAAATATTTGATATGAAATCGAGTTTTTGACAAATACAAATTACACCTAAAGATCATTTCAAAATAGCTTTTATCATCCTATTTAGATAGTATGAATGGAATGTAATGCCATTTGGATTAAAAAATGCCCCATTTGAATTTCAAAGAATAATGAATGATATTTTTGAACCATATTCTCAATTTTGCATTATTTACATTGATGATATTTTAATATTTTCTTCTTCAATAGAACAATACTTTAAACATCTAAAGTTGTTTTTTAGGACAACAAATCTCACAAGGAACTATCACTCCTATCGAAAGATCTTTATCTTTTACAAATAATTTTCTCGATAAAATCACTAATAAAACACAATTACAAAGATTTTTAGGAAGCCTAAATTATGTATTAGATTTTTATCTAAATATAAATCGTTTGTGCAAACCCTCGCATAATAGATTAAAGAAAAACCATATCCCTTGGATAGAACATCATACTAATATTGTCGGGAAAATTAAAATACAAGTTTAAAATATCCTTTTTTTTACATTTAGTTGACCCTTCTACATTTAAAATTGTTGAAACATATGCTTCGACATTAGATATGGAGGAATATTAAAAAAAAAAAAGATAATGAAGAGCATGTAGTTCAATATACATTAGCTTATTAGAAAGACACATAAAAAAATTATTCAATCATTAAAAAAGAAATTCTTTCTATTGTTCTCTACATTACAAAATTTTAAAGTGATTTACTAAATCAAAAATTTCTTTGACACATAGATTGTAAATCTACAAAAGAGATTTTACAAAAACATATATATATATATTCAAAACATTGCATCAAAACATTTTTCGCTAGATGACAAGCTATTTTAAGTATTTTTATTATGATATTAAGTATATTATAAGAAAAGCAAATTCCATTCCCGATTTTCTCACTCGAGATTTTTTTTGTAATAAATCACAATGATTCCCCTCAATTGGAAAAGGCAAACAAACCTAACAAAGCTCAATAAAACCATTATCTCTCGCAATACAAAACTAGATCTTAGAAATAAATATTTCAAGAAGAATTTGAAGGACAATGCAGACAGCTCGAAGCCACAAAAAAAGAATAAATATCTTCGTAAATGGGTAGTTTCTATCCCACAACACTAAGAGATTTTACTCAATCTCCAAGACTCTTAGACCTCCAAACCACGCAACATAGCAATTTCTAAATTACTTGAACAAATTTCCAAAAAAAGAAATTATACATTATCCACCCAATGGACTGGAGTCAAGACCTCAATACCCCAAAGAAATTCCAAGTTAGATTTTCACAAAACCTACCATTTAACCATACATACATATACTAGGACTATTAATAAGCCTCGGTATAATACTTTTCTTATCCAAAACAAACTAAACAAACATTATTAGTTAGTTTTTTTAATACCAAAACCCAATACCATCTACTATTCTCGGTTCATTTCTTGGTGCAAATGGTTTGGTGTCATTCATAAATTCTCGCAAACCGGTACTTACCATGAATATATTACCTTTAAAGATAAAAATATCCCTATAAAATTTAAGTAAGATTTTCCTCCTTTTTGTTTATATATGACAAAATTCATTATCCCCTAGGTTCTCTTTTGGGAATATTCATTCAAGACGGATGGTAAAATCGGTAATGATCCTAATGTGTTTATTCTCATTCTTACTAAAACCTTCAAGGTAAAATTGTGGGATAAATTTGCACAATCTAGCAAAGCAGACAAAGCAGCGATTGAGACATAATTATCCTCACAAAGGCCACAAAATAAGAGAAAAGAGATTATCACTAACGTGCACATAAATTTCTTGGCCCAAAAGTCTAAAGCCAATGCTCTCCTAACCAAAGCTAAAATAGAGGAAGAATATTTCTCTATCAAACAACAATTGCTTAAAAGCCATTCTAATGAATCATAAAACAAAACTAGTTTCAAGTCTTTAATTGATCTTAGAGATGACAATGAAGATGAACTGTCTCGGCATCCTTCCCTTAATCAAATAATAAATTAATAAATGAATGAAAAAATCAAACGATCGAAAAATGATGTCACATTTATATCACTTCTACTTCTTTGCATCACCAAATTCCATTTCAAGAAAGTAATCATCACAGCTTTGAAAAAGAATGTTCTCATTTTACATTAATGCCACTCCAAAGGCCAATAAATAGGCCACCCATCACTTTCAAGGGCAAGCTTTTAGAAGTTCAAGAAAAGGAAGCTCTCTATATCACAAAGGCTCTCTACAAAACCTCCGTCTCTCCTTTAGATAATTAGGAAGCTCATGTGTTGCGCAATCAGCCACAAAGTCTTAGAATTTGTAACTCCCAATAATCAAGATTTGGTATGACTCTTTTGTAAGTATTTTCTTTAAATTTACGTTTTATTTATAATTTTATTTTTACATTAATTAGTGATCGGATCTACCACCTATCTTTATTTATTTATTTTAATTACATTGTATTAATCATGCGGTTGCTCTGCTGTCGGTATGTTTTCATTTGATGTCATTTACATTGTTTATATTGCAATTTTTATATTATTGTTTCGATTACATATTTGCATTGTATTTCTTTTACATATTTATATTGTTACATTGCATTAATATTAACCACTCATCAATTGATCTTTTATTTGCTTTTATTATTATTCATAATTCATACTTTGATCCTTCAATTTCTATTGTTATCAAAGCAATGTAATGTAACAATATTTTAATTCAATGCAAATATAAATAAGTAAAAGAAATAATTTCTATTGTTATCAAAGCAATGTAATGTAACAATGCAAATATAAATAAGTAAAAGAAACATTTGATTATTAAGAGTATGAATTATGAATAATAATAGAAGAAAATAAATGATCAATTGATGAATGGTTAATATTAATGCAATGTAACAATATGAATGTGTAAAAGAAATACAATGCAAATATGTAATTAAAACAATAATATAAAAATTGCAATATAAATAATGTAAATGACATAAAATGAAAACATACGAGTGGCAGTAACTAACCACAATTAATGTAATGTAATTAAAAAAAATAAAGATGAGCGATAAATCCAACCACCGAATAATGTAAAAATAAAATTATAAATAAAACTTGTATTTAAAAAAAATACTTACAAAAGAGTCGTACAAAATCTTTATTATTGAGAGTTATAATTTCTAAGGCTTTATGGCTGGTTGTTCAACACATGAGCTTCCTATATATAAAGGACGGTGAAATGGACAAGGAATACAATAAAAACCAAACCAAAGTGCCAAGACATTGTAATTAAGAAAATTTTCTTTTTCTTTCATTCTCTAGATTTAAATCTTGATTTTTTTTTATTAAATTTATCTAAATACATTAAGTTAATATAAAAAGTATATCTTTAAAATCGTTCTACCCATTTAATCTTAGGTAGCAAACAAGTTGGGGAGAGAATATACTTACCATATATAGAATAAAAAAGAAACAAAAAAACGAAAGTGCGATCGGGAAAGAAGGAATACGAAAAAGTTTCCTTATTCAACACACGAGTAAATTGTAAATTAATCCCTCTAGTTTGAAAAACAAATCAATTAATTACTTCTATTTTAAAAATTAATTATTTAATCTTTTTTTATTTTTTATTTTGTTTTAGGTTTTTATTTTAACAATAAAAATTAGATATTATGAAAAGATTGTTGATAATTTTTTAAAAATAAAATAATATCAAATTAAATATAATCAATATTAATTAAAAAACCAACTAATTAATTTTCAAAATAAAAAAATTAATTAATTCGTTTCTTAAAACTAGAGATACTTAATTTATAATTTACTCTTCAACACATGCATTTCTTCCATCCAGCTCAGTGTCATCCCATCTCATCTCATCACTATCTCCTCAAAAAGGCTGTTATCCTCTGAGCGCCACCCAAAACCAAAGTCAAAAAACCAAAGAGTAACAAAAACACAACTCTCTCTCTCTCTCTCTCTCTCTCTCTCTCTCTCTCACACGCACACACACAGACATAACATAACATAAAGTCACTTATAAAACGCTCTCTCTCCCAGCGGACTCCATCTCTCCTTTCTTTTATCTGCCCTTTTCTTTTGCCAAAACAAACAAAAAATGTCTCTTCTCCATTTCCATGGTTATTCTTAAACCCTATAACAGTTTCAAGATCTAACTAGTATGTAGATAGAGGCTGACAGAAAGAGAAGCCTTGCTTTTTTTCTTTTTTTTTTTGTCTGGTTAGATTGAAGAAGCCTATTGTAAGTTAAAGATCTGAGAAAGAAATGGGAAGCAAATGGAGAAAGGCAAAAATAGCACTTGGCTTGAACATGTGTCTTTATGTTCCTCCAACTGATGTGGAACAGCATGATTCTTCCTCCTCACCTTCTCCTGCTAAAATATTCTCCCACTCCTCTCAAGGGCCCACTACTCCTACCCCTTCTTCTTCCGGCCTCCGCTCGTCCAAATCCCCTAATAACAATAATAAGGTAATGATATGTTGTTTCTGCTATATATATGTATGTATGTATGTAGAAAAAATAATGCTCCCATTAAGGATTAATGGGGTTTCTTTGTTTTTCCTTGCCTTTCCTCTAATTGTTCAATAATTTTGTGTTTATTGTATTGTTTAGTGTTAAAGCTATGTAGTATGATTGGATAATTTTATTGATGTTGCTGTTAAATGTTTAATGCTAAATGTCTGGTCTATTCACAACCTAGCTTTTGTTTTTAGCAGACAATGGTCTAATCTAGTTTCATGGTGGGTTGTCAAAGTGTGGGGTATATTTATGTATGGTGGGTGCGTTTGGGTAGTGATATACACACTGAATATTAAGGGAGCCTGTTGTTATTGGCATGTTGTTTTCAACTCTCTGCTTGAGTTCCCTTTTGTGGGGGGATTAAGTTTAAAGTGGACTAGTCCCTTTAAAGGACCATTTTCCACTTTGGCTTATGAGAAAAGTATTACTATAGCTAATACCATTACCATTACCAATACCACCACTCTTGTTTGTTTTGGTACCGTCTCTCCTTTCCCTTGATGGGAAAAAGTGTTTTGTCTGGTCAGCACTACTTTACCTTGATCACAACACAATATCATGCTCTCTCCCCCTTTCTCTCTGCTTTTGATGGTTACTTAGAGGGGAAAAAAAGCCTGTGGACCGTTGATTGGGAGCCATCCAGCAACAATCTTCAACGAATTAAAAACATTGGGGAATCAAAGGACTGACAAATAAAAATAAAAAGAAATGAAATTTGGAGCAAACCCATTATATTTCCCTTCTTTTGATGAGTTCTGCATTAATATTATTTTTTTAAAAATTGCGTTTTTGGGTTGTTTTCTTGAAAGCTCTTCCATCATGAGTTTGTTGAAGGGGGGCTTGATTATTCTTTACTTTTGAAAAGTCGTCTACAATTGATTTTTCATAATTTAGCATTATGTCATTTGCAAGGCTTTGACTGCCTAACATTTGACTTCTTTTTCGGTTGGTTAGCTGATTTATTGGGATACAACTCTGCAGCTTTGTACTAAACTAAAAATAATAATGATAAAGCAACTTGTTAAATTGAGATATATGGTGTAGATGGGTTGCCTTCCATTTCTTCTTTTCTTTTTACGCACGAGTCTCAAATTCTCATATCTCGATAATGGAACTGCTTTGAGACAAAAAAATGGTCAGTGACATTAGAAATTTACACCCACCTTTATCTGAGATCTCTCTAACAAATAATCCAAGGTAGTAACTTGATTGCCAGATTTGAATGGATTCGATATGGATCTGAGACCTTAGTCATGCAAATACCATTACTCTTTAGATCAAATTCATTACTTAATGTTTACCCCAGAAAATATGTTAAGCTATGGTTCAAATTTAAGTTTAAGCATTCCTAAAAGGGTTTAGGATTTTTCATGTCAAGCCTACTGAAGTATGATAGGAACATGTCTGAACAGACATTGGAATGCTCTTTAGTCTAGTATGTGTGTCAGATCATTTAGACATCTACAACTTGATCATTCGCCAATGTGCTGTTCAGTGGTTAATAAAATTGCTCTCTTTCAATTGAATATTATTTCTATAATCGTGATTGTTTAAACTTATCTTGCCTGGAACCATTTATATTGTCTATGTGATCTTTTTTCCTCACAAGCCCATCCTTCTGAACTGCAGAGGACCTGTGCGATATGCCTGACTGACATGAAAACAGGACAGGGCCATGCCATTTTTATGGCGGAATGCTCCCACTCATTCCACTTCCATTGCATTACCTCTAATGTAAGGCATGGGAACCAGATTTGTCCAGTTTGCCGAGCAAAGTGGAAAGAAATCCCCTTTCAAAGAACTGTTTCTGATGTTCCTCGTGGAAGGCCAAGAATGAGCGCAGTAGGTTGGCCTCATGATGATGGTTGGATGACTGTTCTAAGACGGCTTCCTCCTGCTCGAGCAGATGCAAACAGGCATATTTCATCACTTTATCAAGTCAATGAACCAGCTACCTTTGGTGATGATGAAGGCTTAGATCCTCAACATGAGACTGCCGAGGGAAACGCATCTACTCAAGATGTTGGCGATGTTGATTCTATGGGAACAGTAGAGGTGAAAACATATACAGAAGTTTCAGCAGTTCCAAAATCAGTCTCTTATGATAATTTCACCATATTAATCCATCTCAAGGCCCCTCTCACAAGTGGAAGACAGAATAGGAACCAGAATAGGAACCAGAATCATGCTGAATCACCACAATCATCTGAAGATTCTCGTGCTCTAGTTGATCTTGTTACAGTGCTTGATGTTAGTGGCAGCATGTCTGGTACAAAGCTTGCTTTGCTAAAACGAGCGATGGGGTTTGTCATACAGAATCTTGGCCCATCTGACCGACTGTCTGTTATTGCCTTCTCATCCACAGCCCGACGCCTCTTTCCTCTTCGTCGCATGACAGAGACTGGAAAGCTGGAGGCTTTACAGGCTGTTAATTCTCTGGTTTCTAATGGTGGGACAAACATTGCTGAAGGTCTAAGGAAAGGTGCCAAGGTGTTAGTGGATCGCAAATGGAAGAATCCAGTTTGCAGCATCATGCTATTATCTGATGGGCAGGATACATATACTGTCTCTAGTAATAGCGGGACCCGTCCTCGAACAGATTATAAATCACTTCTCCCGATATCCATTCATCAGAATGGTAGCACGGGGTTCCAGATTCCTGTGCATGCATTTGGGTTTGGTGCAGACCATGATGCTGCATCAATGCATTCAATTTCTGAGACATCGGGTGGCACGTTTTCATTCATAGAAGCTGAGGGTGTGATTCAGGATGCATTTGCACAGTGCATTGGAGGGCTCTTGAGTGTAGTGGTGCAAGAGCTACAGGTCAAAGTTGAGTGTCTTCATTCAAGATTGCAAATTGGTTCAATTAAAGCAGGTAGTTACAAAACCAGCATCATGGCCAATGCAAGAATGGGCTCTGTTGATGTTGGAGACTTGTATGCTGAAGAAGAAAGGGATTTCTTGGTAACAGTCAATATTCCAGTTGATGATACCAGTGACGAGATATCATTGCTAAAGGTCAGTTGTGCTTACAGAGATCCAATGACAAAAGGTATGGTGACTCTTGAGGAAGCTAGTCAAGTAAAGATCCAAAGGCCTCAAATAACCGGAACACAAGTGGTGTCAATGGAAGTGGATAGGCAGCGAAACAGACTCCGTGCAGCAGAGGCAATGGCTGAGGCTAAAGCTGCAGCTGAACATGGTGATCTAGCTTGTGCAATTTCCGTCCTGGAGATCTGTGGCAAAGCATTGTCAGAAACTGCATCTGCACGGGCGGGTGACAGACTGTGTATTGCGCTAAGTGCGGAGTTGAAGGAGATGCAAGAAAGGATGGCAAGCCGCCGTGTATATGAAACATCTGGAAGGGCTTACATTTTATCTGGTTTGAGCTCACACTCATGGCAACGAGCAACTGCACGAGGCGATTCCACTGATAGTACAAGCCTTATGCAAGCTTACCAGACCCCATCAATGGTAGACATGGTAACTCAGTCTCAGACCATGGTATTCGGTACCCCATCTTCTCAACGGAAACTTAGGCAAACTATGTCATTTCCAGCTGCCAGACCACACCCAAGATAATTTTTGGCATTGTCCAGAAATTCTCCTCACCGTACATTCATATAATTCCGTATTCATGAACCTTTTTGTTTACTTTTAAGTTTTGTTTTTCCTCTTTATGTCAGCTTGAGTAAAGTTAGATGGGAAAGGAAGAGGGATATTGGGTTTATTTTGACAATTGTGGGCATATTTTCTTGTTTTGGTATGTAAATGAATAAGAAAAATTGGGGGATATAGCTAAGATGAGCTTGAGAGATAAACTGTGAAAAAAAGCGGGGTTTAAGGTTTACATAGTCTCGCTATGGATAATGTACATAAGGAGATTTGATGTTATTTTTTGTTTTTCCTGTGAGGTGGTATAGTTATGGGGATACTGACATGGGGGGGTGAATTCTTCACTTAAACATATGATATGATATGATATATTGCCCTTCATTCTTTTTAGATGTTTTATTCTTCCCCTGGTGCATAGTATAGTCATCATGACTTTGCTGTCCATATTGGAGAAATCAAATCAAATCGAAACAAAACCAAATGTCAGACATGGTTGGGCAGAGATGGGATTGGCACAAGTTTATCCGTTTGAATTTCGAACGTCTGGTCCACATTTGATTGCAATATGCTATTGAATTTTCAAATGCTTTTTGAATTTTTGATATGTACATATCGTCAATTAACCAATATTTCTGTAGCACGAGTATAACGACACAAATGTACAAAAATTAAATATCTATCTGGATTTCACATCTTATCCTTTCATTCCTAAGGGGTCAATTTTAGAGTTAAATAAATATATGGTTTTGTCCAGCAAGTTTGACAACTGTAATTTCAAACTTTATTTATTGAAATTTGAACTGATCAGAAATTTTATGTTACTTTATAAGTAATTATTAATATTTATTTCATAAAAAAAAGATAAATATAAAAAAAAACAAAAAAATAGAAAATATTTTTATTATTTTTATTGAGTCTGAATGTGAATTTTTTTCTTCTTAAAAATAGATTTGTGGAATAAGTGTTATAAGTATTGGTAGTTATTTTTAGAGTATTTTAAAATTTCTCGACTTTGAAAGTAATATTTCAAACAATAAGTCTGAAATGTTTGGAACATTTATAAAACTGTAAAGAGTAAAAAAAATCTTGTAAAAAGATTTTAAAATTGCAAGATGTATTAAAATGAAAGTTTAAAAATTTTAAAAATTTATATCAATCTTCTCGTAACTCTTTGTTATTTTTGTGCAAGTAAAAGGAGTTGAGCTTCAAATTTGAGTTGCATGTTCTTTTTTTTCAAATGCCAAGGTCTCTCTAATTTGAGTTGCATCTTAAGCGATGAATCGTTAATAATAGTTCAATGTATATTGTTTGTCCAATCTATGGAATCCCTATAAAAAAAAAAACAAAGAGTAAAATATTTCTATGCATTGTTGGAAAAATTAATAACATGGGACGTGTGAATATCTTGGCCAAAAAAGAAATAAAAAAAGGTAACAAAAGAAATTTTTCGATATTATTAAATACATTCTATATCATATGTAAATCATTTCTTGTAACAATTAGTCAGCATAATAAATAACTCGGATAGAGATTGGACCATATATTGAATAAGTAATGCACTAATTAGTCAGCATAATAAATACCTGGATAGAGATTTGACTATATATTGAATAAATAATGCACCATCACAAAATATGATCAAATTCAAAATTTCTTTTGTTCACCGTAAGAAAGAAATGTTTAAATGAAGTGGGTTACATGATAGAGAATAATATAAATTATATTTTGAGTTTTTATGAAATAGTTTAAAATTTTTAGTTGAAATGATCGTTTTACATGATATTAGAATCTTGATGACCAAACACTTATAAATTCGAATCTCACTATCCTCATTTTACTTGAGAAAATATTCTAAAGAATAGTATAAATTATATATTAAAGTCTTACCTATAAACTTAAACGTTTAACTCTAATTATGTTAAAACATCATATTTTATAATAATATTTTGCAAGAACACCATGAGGTAGACTATTTTGTACTAGCTTATCCTTATAGGTGATGTGTAAGAGAATTGACCATGTAATGCTCATTATTTATTTATTTATGATATTAGCAATGGAAGATTGGAACTTCGGATATGATAAACTTGAATTTTAAGACTCCCATGATGAATTAAAAAGGCATGTAACGTGTTTGATACTTTGATTTCTTGTTTCAAAATTCACCCATGTTATGCCACTATTTTATGCCATGCCATGAAGAAAATTATTGAGAACAAAATTTTGTCATAATCACCAAGGAATAAAACATCCGGTTATCTAATCTTTTCCTTTTTATCCGTTCATAACAAAATTTTGTCATCATTCACGAACCTTCCAACTACCAACTCTTTATTATGTCCTTCAAGCCTATTGGTAAATAATTGGATTTAATTGAATATTTATGAAACTCATTTCATGCTACAAAATTGTTTCTATTGGATATCTCTATCTCCTAGTCAAAGCTATTTGTAGAATATCACTTTTTTTTAAAAAAAGAAAGTAAACAATTTTGAAATAGGCGAGAGGAAGATCGACGCCTTTGGAATCTCAAAGCTTGGTAGAAAATGCCTAGCATCATGAGTTGTTTTTTCCGATAGCAAAAATGTTTTCAAACCAACTTGAATGATTTTGATTGAAACCAAATCTTTTTCAAAAGAATTTTAAAAACACATTTCACATTAACATAGTGTTTTGAAAATTGGGCTCTCGTTAAAGTCCGTTTTCTAAACTTGAGTTTTTGACATATTCTATTAGATTGAGTTACGGGCTTACGATTTCATTAAAGCCATTTCTTTATTTAAGGTCCATACCATGTCCATGTAGAAAGTACGATGAATTTAATTATTTTGCACTCGTAAGATAAATTGTTGTTAAATGATGGATATAATTTAGGGATCCCATATTTCAACCTCGGAATAATGTTACACCCCATACGAAAAAGAGATTTTTCTAGAGGCTAATTGAGAATGCTAGGTAAGTCTAGAAGCCTCTAGAAGATTATGGAGCAATGGAGTAGTCTTTAGGATGTTCAAGAGAAACCTAAACATGTCTTAGAGAATTCTAAAAAGTCCGTCATTATTCTAACTCGTACATATCTAGATAGTTCATTATAAATATCTAGTTAAGATAATTCTAGAGAACTAATTGTATCCATTAGACCAAATAGATTCTAGCCATCCATTAAGGAGGTGAAGGACTATAAATAGGTAAGGCCTTTATTTGGCCAAAACATCTAAAAATCTAAAAAAGTGTAATCTTAAAGTTGTAAGCTTTAGAGAGAACAATACAAAGAGCTCTTATATCTTTTTTGTATGTATGTCTTTCTTACTTGACAACCTTGTATGGGAGAAGGCTGATTTGGTTTGACTTAGAGAAGAAGTGAGCCAAGTGCCATACAAGAGCTTATGAAAGGCCAAGTTCATGATAAGTGGTATCGAGCCTAGTTCTATCAAGCATGATTAACCTTGCAGCTAGCTAAGTGTTCAAAAGAGTAAGCATGTCTAGCTCTAGTGTTGAGGACATTGCTGGGGACACGAGGAAGGAGACTCTACCTACTCAGCTTAAGAAAATAAAGAAAAATCTCTTGATGTTTTAGTTGCCTTGGAGGAGTGGCTCTTAAGGGCAAAGGAATGCCTTGTTGATTTCAAGAAGAATAAAAAAGATAAAAGGAGATAATATGGGGGAGACATTAGGCATGGCAAGGCCTATGTGAGGTGCTCTTTGATCTCCAAGTTCGAGTGGAAACAGTTGAGAGGTGTGCCAAAGAGAGTGCTATCGAAAAGGGTACCTTCGTTGAATGGATGAAGGAAATGTTCAAGAAATATTTAAGAGTCTATAACTAAGTATGAGAAAACTCTTGAACAACTTAGAAAAGATTAGGCAAATTATTGAGAGGCCATCTCTAATGGTGTGGTCTTAAGAGATACGCCAAAAATTGAAGTGCCAAGACTAATTCATTATGTTGGCAAGCGAGATGCTAAGGAAGTTGATAACATCTTTTGACAAGTGGAGCAATATTTCAAGGTAACGAACTTAAGTAAGGATAAGAGTCGTGTCAAGATCGCTACTTTCTACTTTACGGAAGATGCTACTTTATGATGGCATATGAAGCATCAAGAGTTTGAAGAGAGGAATCAAAGATTGCCTATATGGACGAATTCAAAGAAGTTATGTATGTCCAATTCTACCTCGAGGAAGCAAATTGGGAAGCACGAGATAAGCTATGAAAGTTGAAGCATATAGGAACTATTCATAACTATTCACGAGTGTGTTTGAGAATATGCTTCTCTTAAACTTCAAGTACATTGCAAACCCGACTATGATCATATGTATGATTTATTATGGGACTTAAACCATGGGCACAATAAGAGGTAGAGGTCGATGGTTTAAGACCTTCACCGAAGCTATGGTCATAACCGAATCCTTAATTAAGTATATAAAGAATGTAGAACCCTCCAAGTCCTAGAAAGACTTCAAGGGCAAAGGTAGGGGAGCTTACGAAAAGAAGGGGTATAAAGATGGTAATACAAAACATAGAAATCCAAAGGCTTTATCAAAGAGAATGACAAGAGAGAATTCAAGTCTAAGGATTGCTACTCGTTGCAATAAGACATCAATGGAGGAGTATCCGAAGCGATAAACCGTCGATGCCTTAATGGAGGAGAAGGAATGTGCTCCTAAGCATGAGAAACATATGGAATTATCGAGGCTTCTCAATGCTTTGAATGTCAAGCCCTTACCTAATATGCCACCAAATGATGGGATTATGTATGTGGATATGGATGTGAATGGTAAGGTTACACTTGACATGCTAGACATCGGTGCCACGTATAATTTCATGATCGAGGATGAGACTAAAAGACTCAATTTGGTGATAACTAATTCATCGAGTAGCATAAAGATGGTGAATGCTTCCCCTAAGCCTACTTGTGGCATAAGCACATAAGGTAAGCCTTAATATAGATGCATGAAAAGAGATGATAGATTTCATGGTTGTTATAATGGATGACTTCAAAATTATGCTAGGCATAGAGTTTTTCAAAAAAGTGAAAATAGTGCCTATACCTCACTTAGAGCAAATGCTGTTATGAAGGAAGAAACGCCATGCATAAGTGCCAACCAAGATGCATACTAGATCCAACTTGAAGCATCTCTCGAATATGCAAGTGAACAATGGCTTTAAGAAAGGAATTGTCATCTATTTAGCAACATTAAGAGAAGATGAATCAATAGACGATGAGGATGCGGAGATATCAAAAGAGATTGCCAATGTGCTGATTGAATTTGATGATGTGATGCCACTAGAATTACCTAAGAAGTTACCACCCAAAAGAGAAATCAATCATCAAATAGAGTTGGTGTCGAGTGGTAAATTGTTAGTTATGACACCTTATCGTATGACCCCTTCGAGTTAGTGAAATTAAAAAAATAATTTAAGGCTATATTGAAGGCCGAACAAATACAACCCTCCAAATTCCCTTATGGCTTACCCATATTGTTTTAAAAAAGTGCAATAGATCATTAAGAATATTCGTAAACTATCAAGCATTAAATAAGGTCACGATAAAAAACAAGTATCAATTTCATTGATAGTTGACTTGTTTGGTCGATTAGGAAAAACTTGATTTTACACCAAGCTTGATTTAAGATTAGGGTATTATCAAGTTCGATTGCCATCTAAGATATGCTAAAGACGAGCATGCGTGATAAGGCATGGTTCTTATGAGTTCTTTATTATGCCATTTGGCTTGACGAATGCCTCGGCTATCTTATGCACCTTAATAATAAGATATTTTAATCGTATTTGGATCAATTCATAGTGATATATCTTAATGACATTGTGGTTTATAGCTTTATATTAGAGGAGTATCTAGACTACCTATGTACCGTATTCAAAGTACCGAGAGAGAATGAGTTATATGTCAAAAGAGAGAAGTGCTTCTTTATAAAAAGGAAGTACTCTTCCTAGGGAAAAAGATTAAGGGAGGAAAGTTGATGATGGATGAGGTTAAAATCAAACCTATTTCAAAATGAGAAAAACCAACCAAGGTACACGAGCTTCGCTCTTTCCTTGAGTTAGTAAATTACTATCGTCATTTTATCCCCGACTACTCAAAGAAGATGACCCCTCTCACCGATTTGTTAAAGAAAAACAAAAGGTGGGAGGAGAGTGAACGATGTCAGAAGCTTTCGAGGAGTTAAAGTAAGATGTCACCGAGGAGCCGAGTGTTGAGATTGGTTGACCCAACTAAGCCATATAAAGTACACACTAATACTTTTGATTTTGTTATAGGCGAGTGTGTTAATGTAGGAATAACGTCTTATAACTTACGAGAGTAGAAAGCTAAATAACATCGAATGTCGATATTCGATGCAAGAAAAAGAGATGACTACCATGGTGTATTGCTTACGTACTTGAAGGCACTATTTGCTAGGATCTTGATTTATGGTGAGGATGGATAAAGTAGCCATGAGTTACTTTGAATCTTAAAAGAAGTTGACACCGAAACAAGCTCGATGTCAAGACTTTCTTGTCAAATTTGACTATGTCTTTGATTACAAGCCGGACAAGAGTATTATGTGAAATGGAAGGGATTACGGAAAGCAAGGCTACATGGGAACTTCGTCGAAGCCTTGTGGTAATTCGTACGGAAGGTCGAAGAGTATAATGAAGGTGCACCGAGGACGTCACCAAATTAGGTAGGAGAGAATGTTACGTCCCGCATGAAAGTGGGATTTTTCGATGGCCAATTAAGAATGCTAGATAAATATAAAAGCCTCTAGATAACTACGGAGCAATGAGGAAGCCTCTAAGATGTCTAAGAAAAATCTAGACATGTTTTAGAGAATTCTAGAGAATCTCTCGTTATTGTAGCTTGTACATTATCTAGATAAGATAATTCTAAAAAATCAATTGTAGCCATTAGATCAAATAGATCCTAGTCATCCATTAAGGAAGTCGAAGATTATAAATTGGTGAGGTTTTCATTTGACGAAAACATCCGGAAATCTAAAAAAGTGTAATTCTAGAGTTGTAAGCTTTAGAGAGAATGATACAAAAAATTCTTATATCTCTTGTGTGTGTTTCCTACTTAACAACCTTATTTGAAAGAAGGTTGACTTAGTTTAGCTTAAAGAAGAAGTTAGCTAAGTGTCGCACAAAAGCTTGGAAAAGGCTAAGTCCGTGACAATAAGGTAGCTTGGAATAGTTATTTCAAGCCCCCTATAATTATAGGTTTTTTAAGTTCATGAAATAAGAAGATAATTTTTTATATGTAATATTAATGTTTATTAGTTTGTAATCTTATAAATATTTTTTTTATAATTTAAATAGTATTTTTTTCCTTCTTTTATAAGGTAATAAGAAATTTTTTTATTGAATTTTCTTAATTGTTTTTAACTATTATAGTTACGAAATAATTAGTTAAATTATGAAAAGATAAGATTTTTTTATGATTTATTTAATGAATCTATTTAATAACACTTAGTTTGTTACACAAAGTAAATAATACTTATTTTCTTTTTGAAAGAAATAGTGTACCTTTTAAATTATAATTGTATAATAATATTAGTAACTAGCATGATTATGAGATAATTAATTAAATTACTCGGTAGTTAGATCATTTATTATAATACAATAAATAAAAATATATAATAGTTTGTAAACTAAAAGCACTATAATTATATTGCGCGAAATAATCGTGGCAAGTCCCCTTCCCTCGATTACATGGTGGGTTGGAAAGATTTTAGGAGAAACTTCATATTGTCCTATAACTTAATCAATATTGTACTTCTAATTTTATTGTTTAAATATGCATGTCATCATTCTATATTTCAAAGAGTTCTGTTAAAAATGATATAAATTATTTTTTAAATTTCATTTAATAGTTTAATTTTTTTGATTGAAATGATTTTTTGACATGATATTAAAACATTAATAACTAAAAAACACACCACTTTTATTTTTTTTTAATTAAACACAAGATAATTATAAATATGTGCAATTTTGAAATTAAAAAAAGATTTTTATTTGAGAAGGTGTGTTAGGTATTAATGTAAAATCGTTACTAAAGTCTTACTTAATAGCTGAAGTTTTTGAATTGATATAGTTTTTTTTCGACATGTTTCAATATTACTATTTAAATAAATTATTTTTTTATAATAATTTTTTTTTTTTTTAGGTTTTTAGGTGTTGTTATAAGATATTATAATATGCAAGGGTACTTGAGGGGAAAAAAATAAAAGAAAATGTGAAAAAAAGATTTTTTTGCTAGTTATTTACAGTAAAATGCAAAGTTATAGGTTTTTGAAAATTATAGAGAAAAAATTGGAAAATTTTAATTAATGATAGTAGAAATGGAGTGTTCATGAATATATGAAGTTAAAAATACAGTTTACCCAAGATTATATTTAAGATTATGAGTTTGCCATGTTTCAATAGCAATTTCTAGAAAGAAAACCGGGGACATTAAATTAAAATTATGCTTCCATACAAGAAGAAATTTATTAAAAGAAATTGAATAAAAAGGGGAGATAAATATATATAATCATAGATCATCATTAATGAAATTAGGAAGAAAATTGAAATTTAATTGCTTTAGTCATATTAAAATAATTTGGAATGCTCGAACTCTGTAATTGAAAGATTTGATTGTATAAAAAAAAAAAGGAGCAAAAAAGAAAAAGAAAAATTTGACTGTAAAATTTGAATATTTCGCAAGCAACAACCAAACTAATTAAGTGGCTCCTTGGAAATACATTTACAAAGTCTCAGATTTAGTAATTTTCAACATTATTTCGGGACGGTCACAAAACCAAATGCTTTCTTTCTCCTATGAAGCGCGAAAAACTGAGTAAATTATCAATTAGTCTCTGTATTTTTTTATAAATAAATAAATTAGTTATTATTATTTAAAAATTAATTATTTAATCTTAATTTCTTGACAACAGAAATTTAATATTATTTTATTAGAAAAATGTATTTTTTCTCATTAATCTTTATGTATTTTTTTTACTTATTTTTTTCTTTTCTATTTTTTTTTAAAAAATCAAAATGAATTAAAAAAAAAGGATAAGTTACAAGAAACTAGAGGGACTAAGTTATAATTTACTCAGCAAAAAGCCCTATACTCCGAAGTTTAAAGTTCATGACGGACCGAAAATTCGATTAAGGTCGTTTGGACCCGAAGAATACAGGGATGAATACGGACTTTGGTTCTTGGAAGGGCTAAAACGTAATATTATTATTTTGGAGTTTCCATCTCATTAGGAATTATTCGAAAAATTTGTTAGAATAAGGAGGAGTAAATTACAAATTAGTCCCTATAGCTTTGATAAATGATATAATTAGTTCTTATATTTCAAAAACTAATAGTTTAATTTTTTTTGTCTATTTTCTAATTTATTTTGTTTATTAAATAATAAAAAGTAAATATATATTAATAAAATATTGATTGAAAAAAATATACCTATTTTTGGAATAAAATTATGTTAAATTAAGAGTTCAATTTACTAAATATAAATTAGTTCATTTTTCAAAACTGAAGGGACTGATTTATAATTTACTCGAATACGCAGGATTCTGAATTTTGGGAAAACCTCGGGTAACGGTCGGTCAGAGAGGGCTAAGTGGCCCTCTCACTCTCGCCACTTGAGTGGCACGTGACCTCCTGCAAAAAGCAAACACATGGCAAATGACACCGAAAGATGGCGCCACCTTGTTTTGAGTGCATAGCACTGATGTCAGACTCTCTCTCTCTCTCTCTTCTCTTTGACCATTATCGAGTTTGAGACTCCCTGCTCTTGACTCTTCATCTCTTCTCTTCTATCCTCTTCTCTCCACTTCTGCATATTTTGTTTCTTTTTTTTGTGGGATAAATGTTCTTGGTTCATTTCTGCACCTAGCGGAAACGATGAATTTCATCTCTCCAGCTAGTTCTTGCTGAAAATGAGAGGTAGATAACCGTAATTTCTCTCACCTCCTTTTCCTTTTACTTTAAGGAATTATTGTTATTATATTAGTTTGAATTTGATTAATGCTTTGCTTTTCTTTTTGGATAAAATTTAATATGTTTTGGTGAATTGCTATGGTGTCGGCATGACATTTTCCAGTATTATTAACTGATTAAAAAAAAACTTTGTTTCCTTCATTCCTAGCTCATTTGTTTTGCTTGCCAGATTCTCTCTCTCTCTCTCGATTTCTTTCTGGCCGTCTGATTCTTTGTTCAGGATCTTGGGTGGGCCCTTCTCATATCTCGATTCTAACAATTGAATTCTATACTTGTTTATTGTCTGAGTCGCGACAGGCAACCCGCATTACAAGGGCAGGGCAGGTCCCACTTTTTCAGCATAAACGTTGAAACTCTACTTTACACCAATCCAAAATCATATATGTCTTCGAAGCCAAGTCTTTTAATCTAGAAATTATAACCGATAGCTTAGTGTGTATGTTTATATATATATATATATATATATATCCGTACGTATTAAATCAGAAGTGTTACGTGGTAAAGGTATGCTTAATTATACTAACTACTAGGACTTTATACAAATTTAAAAATTTGAACATCGAGAAGTACTTGAGGTGCAATCTATCTTACCAAATCACCATGGTTTTATAAGGTCACATTACATATTTTTATCCTCAAATGAAAGAAAGCAATCGCAATCCCATGTCCATGTGTCGATAGATAGTGGGATCTAACAAGCTGTACCCTATGTGTTTTTATGGTATTTACAAAATCACCATAGTTTTTGTAAAATGGATCGTCTAGCTCCTGAATTAAAAACCATCAATAACTGAAAAGTTTCCACTTTTATACAGAACCCACGCTGCAAAAATTATTGGTTTCTCTTTAACATCACTAAACTTTAGACTAAGAAATGGTTGAAGAGTCGCTTTCATGTTTGCAATTGAGTTGCTTTCAAAGAGGTGGCTGACAGTTTTGTTTCTTTCTTTGGATGCTACTGCTATGTTTCAAATCTTCATTACCATTTTACCAGTAATACTATTAAATATCAGTCTCTTTCCTAATATATTTATCTCTACCAATTAAGTATCCATCAGGCTGTCAAATGTCTGTTTCTCATTTTTACCCAGTTTTAGAGTTATCCATTCTTTCAACTCTTTCTAGGTTTGTTTTCGCTGTGCTTTTAGCATTCATTCAATGCCAATTAATGTTTGAAATTTGAGAATCATTTTGGATTGGATTTCATTGGTTGCCATTGTAGTTTTTATGCTGGTGTTTTGAGTCTTCAGTTCTCCCTTTTGGAAATAGTGTAATTTGTGACCGGAGCCAGTATTACTTTACTTCACGATGTTTCTGTTGAGCAAATGTATGTAGCTTGTTAGCTAAGCTAGGTGGTTCGTCTCCTCTCTCCATTAGTTGGTTGAGGGAGTTAACTCTGGGTCGCCTAAACTGTGGAAGGGGTCTTGACCTCACTCCTAAGTGCTTGTGTTGTGTATTTAATGCGTAACTGTACGTACCAGGGCCTCCCCTTTTAATGAATGGTCTACGTTTCTTCATTTCTTGGGACAGTAGATGTTACTCTCAGTACCGTAGAGGACTAATTAATAATTTCCTTGGAGCATTTAGTACTAATTGGGCTGTTAATGCCATAATTGAGTGCAATCTAGTATAGTATTTCTTGGATCTTGCTTCAATTATTTGCATAGTGTGTTGAAAATCATTAGAATAGTTTGAAGTGTTTGTTCACCAACCATGAATTTACCAATTCCTAACTAACAATTTCTAGAATTACTGGTGCTATATATGCAATGTTACATCGAGAACCCTGGATCAGTGTTGATGTCCGGATCATCTTGGAATGTCTAAATTTGTAGGGTTAATGAGGTGTAAAGCGTGCGATTTGTATTTTAGCTTTTTTTCTTTCATTTTATAGGAGTTCCAATCACTTTCGTTTAGCCTGGAGTTTTATATTCTTGTTTCGAGTTATTAACTTCATTCATATGTACTCTCAAGCTTTTGCTATCATTTGCTTGGTGCAGATTGGACTCCCTATGACTGAGGAAGTTGGATGAGCAAATGAAGGTTTCTGTTTTCCATTACTGATTCTTTTTCTTTTTTCTTTCAAATACTAGTCAGTGTTTTAGGTCCCAATTAGCAGAAACATACACACAGCACTGGATAATTTTAATCTTGTATATTGTCCTTTAAAAATACTGGAAATTTTTTTCTTCCAAACCGTGTTATTCCTACTGTAACTGATAGGCAGAATAATTTCCTGCAAAGTTTGCAGAATCAGGCTACTGTTGTTAGTTAAAATGACTAAGATGACCTGCAAACTGCCAGAAACTAAACTCTGTAATCTGATGTTTTTGTCTTTGAGCTTGTTCTCTCTCTCTTTCTCTCTCTTCTTTTCAGCAAATATTTACCAGATTTAGGTTTGTTTTGGAAGGCCACTATTTATTGGTATTGCTAAGCTAACTATTGCCATGTTGAACAAGTAGAAAACTTTCGTTCTTAATTGGGACATGGAGTTGACTGGCACTTTTGTTTTATGCTAGTGTTTGAGTAGATGAAGCTTCAACTGAAAGTTGCTCTTGCTTGTCTCATCAGCTTAATCTGGGTCCAGCAGGGTTTTTGCGGTCAGTAATAACACCCATTCCATCTTTAGCATTTGATTCTCTACTTTCTACTACAATTGAAACTATAAAATCCCATATACAAGTTTCCTTGGTATATTAATGAGCTTGCAAAGGCTAGTCATCTCTAGTCAAACATGCTTGAGTTAAGTTCCACTGCATTAGATGCGTCAACCATAGCTACTCCATGTGCACATGATGGTGTTTGCTCAAAGATGCCTAGGCAATGCAAGACTACCTCTAATATTCTCCAACTAGAGAATTTGTTGAAACATATACAGGCTACTTAAGAATATTTTTTGGTTGCAGTTTGCTGCATTTTTTATGTGAAAAGACCTGATGCATGGAGCTGCACTTAATTTTCATTATCTAAATAAGTGCATTACGCTTCATTTCTAGTTAATTGGATGCTGCAGATGAACTTTCCACTAGATTGGGCGCCAACAATTGGACATGTACATGTTCAGCGGCGCATCAAGGAAATCAGAGCTATATTAAATCTCATTGTTCTACTTCCTGTGATTGCAGTCCGGGTATGCTCTTCATTATGGTAAAATCACCCAGAAGTTCTAAAATTACTGGTCTGTAATAGTTGTTGCTCAGCAGTTGACAAAGCATACTCTACTAGTCTCATTCTTTCACTAATAAATATTAGCCATGAGAAATCTCTCCTTGTAACTTGGGCTTATGCCCCTTTTGATCACCCACAAAAATAAATAAATAAATAAATATATAAATAAAAATCATGAAACATACCCTGTGTATAGCTAATAAGGAGATAAATAACATGATTGCGAATCTATCAAAGTACGTCCAAGGCAGAGCTGCTACTGTAGAAATATAAACAACAGTTTTTTTTTTGGTGACCATGGCTAACCATAAAAAGAAGAAAAATGTTTTTTCTCATAGATAATGGTCGGGTTTGCTTTATGTTATATTCTGTAGAACCTCCACTGACAGATTCATAAGGCACTGTATTGCTCTCTAATATGCCCCAACTTATTGTTCTCAAAATAAGCTTTTTTTTTGATAGGTCAAAGACTAATTTTATTTCGATCCATGCACTTTAAAAACATGATACCATGAGTAACTTTCAGGTCCAGGCTATTTATGAACATGTTCGCTTTTTACCATACGTTTACTTGTGTGAGTGTGTTATGATTCCTGTATGAAAATTAGCGGTTGTATTCTCATATAGTTGGTATCCATGATCATTGTCTGTATCTGATGCACGATTAACCTCGTATGAAGCAGCAGGTGGACAAAGTGAAGGTATGTGGATGTGTACATGTTCTAATGGGTTACCAAAAGTTGCTGCTGATAGTCAAGATACTACCTGTTTTACAGCCTGCAACTGCACTTCTGGTACTTTTAACTCCTGACATAATTTTTTTTTCTATGTAATTCAGTCTCTCTTGGATGCTGCTTACTAAATATTTAAAAATTTGATTTTTCGTGATGTATCACCGCTAGTTTCTTCTGGATAAGATTTTTTACTTCATGACTAGTTTGATGTTAAAGAGGAAGAAAGGATGTGAAGCAAAGTTTTACTTCTCAATGATCTCTGCAAGTACCTGTCCTGCTTCGAAGCATGTTTCTGTTTCAATCATGGGTCTAGCCAATTTTAAGATAATCTACGTTTCGGTTTCCATGTTGGATTTTGCAGTGATTAAATGGCATAATGGAGCTGAATAGGACGGCGCAACTAAGAGCTATGCAATTGTTTTTTTGAGTCATCAAGAAATATAAGTTAGCTGGCTAAATTGGGAATTTATCACCAACGGACAATTTACATCTTTATGATTTGATTTATTTTCTGCATCTCAACAGTGCTTATAGGAACAGATTTTAACTGAGATTGGCCACACCATATGTACATAATTTGGTTATAGATGTTCATATACATTATCATTGTATTTTATTTCTTTTTCCTCTCCATGTTCTTGTTACAGGGACAAATTTGATGAATATCATACTGATCCAACAACTTAAAGTCTTGTTCTTTTTCTCTAGTTTTTGTTGAAACTGGATTAAAAATAACCATATAGAACATAAGCCAGGCTGTCCAGATACGATATAATAAGAACTAAATTCTACTTTTTTTTGTATCTATCCAAAGGATACATATTTATATGATTTTCTAGATGCTTCAATCTTGTGTTTAAAACCACTGGCCAGTGGTGAGATGAGTCATCCATGGCCTGACCTATTTGCATATGCTTGCTTGTTAACAGGATCTCTTGCTGATGCTCAAGCTACAAGAAAGCATATTTCTAGCAAAATAGTTGTGGTCATCCTACTATTATGTGTCATACTCACAACTATTGCGTTTCTTGCTTCAATAACATGCTATCTCTACAGAAAGGATAAGTGCCCTATCCAGTCACCGCTATTCTTGTCAGACAGAGAAACAAGTTGCAATAGTGCTACTAACTTAATTAGTCATAGGGCATCTTCAGTGACGGAAACTAATATCAGTGCTGATTACTCCATTAATCCTATATCAGGTAGGTGGAATTTGTTATGTTTATAAGTGAATGATCAAGTTGAATTGGTTTCCATCAAAGTTTGACCTATGAATTGTCTATTATTTGTCATGATTCAACACTCAAGTGTTTTTCCATTTTCTCAGGGTGTTTTCGCAAGGCTTCTTTCTTGTGTAGGGGGAAACCAGAGATTATACATGGAACTTTAATCCGTTTTGCATACTCTGAGTTGGAATATGCAACCGATAAGTTCTCCCATTCTAATCTTATAGGACTTGGGGGAAGTAGTTATGTATATCGTGGTCAGCTCAAGGATGGTAGAACTGTGGCAATTAAGCGACTGAAAGCTCAAGGTGGACCTGATGCAGACTTCCATTTTTCAACAGAGGTACTGCCTCAGCTTGGTACCACTTTTTTTCATCATTTGTTCTACAACAGCTTCTGTGTTTAGTTATTTCTTGAAGTGTAAACAACAGGTTAGTTTGTCTCCAAAATTCACATACAACCTTGTCATGTTGCTTTGCACAGGTTGAGCTGTTGGCGAAGGTCCATCACTGTCATGTTGTGCCTTTGCTTGGCTACTGCTCAGAGTTCCAAGGGAAGCTTTCTGAGAGGTTGCTGGTATTTGAATACATGCCTAATGGTAACCTGAGGGATTGTTTGGATGGGAATATGGGGGAAAACATGAACTGGCAAACTCGTGTTACTATTGCAATAGGAGCTGCAAGGGGCTTAGAATATCTCCATGAAGCAGCTGCTCCAAGAGTTTTGCATAGAGATGTCAAATCAACCAATATCCTTATGGATGAAAACTGGAGGGCAAAAGTAAGTATCTGTTCCTTTGGGTCTCTGTTGCAAATATTGATCCCAAATAGAAAGACAAAACTTATTTTAGCAAGGGTGGGACTCGAAATTCAATCCTACCTCTTTTTCCCTCCTTTTTAGGGGATCATAGCAGAAGGAAATTTTGCTGACTGCAAATTTAGTTGAGACAACTGTCAAATATTAATTAGATATGGACAAGTTCTTATTTAAAACAACTAAGTTGAACAATGAAACCTTAAATGCAATTAAACTCTATAATCTTATGCTGACAACAAAAATTGTGCAGATTACTGATCTTGGCATGGCTAAATGTTTAAGAGCTGATGGAGTTCCCAGCAGTTCCAGTTCTCCAGCAAGAATGCAGGGCACATTTGGCTATTTTGCACCAGAGTATGCAATGATTGGAAGAGCTTCTCTTATGTCAGATGTTTTCAGCTTTGGGGTAGTTCTCCTTGAACTTATCACTGGTCGGCAACCAATCCATAAATCAACCAACAAAGGAGAAGAAAGCCTTGTCTTATGGGTAAAATTCGTCTGGATTTTGTTTAAAGTATTTATATTTTATACCCACAGGTTGAGTAGCTCAAAAAACTACATGTTGTCTCAATTAATTATTTTTGCTTACTATTCCAATTTGAGATATTCCTTGATGATGACTGTTGGTGATGTCTTTAGCAGAATACTAAGCAAAATTGTGTCTGCAGAATACCATTACTTATATGTAGTTTATATTAATCTTCTATCGTAGGCTACTCCTCGTCTCCAGGATAGTAGGCGAGTAATATTGGAGTTGCCTGATCCACGCTTGAAAGGGAATTTCCCTGAAGAAGAGTTGCAAATAATGGCATACCTGGCAAAGGAGTGCCTACTGTTAGATCCTGATGCTCGGCCAAGCATGAGTGAGGTTGTACAAATCCTCTCAATCATAGCACCAGAAAAATCTAAAAGGAGAAACATTCCTGTGAATCTTTTTCGGGTAATGTTATAATAGCAAGTCAATTTTTTTTTTTTTTACTATGTCTTTCTTTCAGGTTGACAACTGATGGTTTTTTCTTTCTATTCTTGGTAAAAAAATAAGAACCAACTTGATATTTGGTGTAAGGTTAATTGCTTGAATTTTGTGTGCCTTTTGGAAGTGGAATTACTGAAAACTTGCTTTGCTGCTGCATTAATAGATTCTGAGAAAAGAGATACAAGCAAAACATGCTTCTGTATGTCATTGATTGAGTGCTGTCATCCCCACTCGCTAATTCTATAGTCTGAAATTTCCTAGAATGCCTACACTGACATGCACATTTATCCCTTTGATTGATGTTATAAATGCCACTGCTTGTCTGATGTAGATGTCTTCAATCCAGAGCATGAAAACTGAGCCATATAAAGAAAAACCTGACAGTGAAGCTGAAGGTTCTGTTGATACTGAGGAAGTACTGAAGCGAGACAGGTCAATTCAACAGTCGGCTTTAGATGTAGGTTTTGTTGGAAGCAACATTGAAGGGGCAGATAATATTTCATCCAAGTATATGGAGAGGTTAATCTTCCTGACTTCAAAAGCTCGGAGTAGGCGTGCCTCAGATGATGAGGCTGTGGACTTAACTGAGCCTCGATTAGAATCATTCTGCATGGCAAATGTTAAATCTCCATGAAAAAGCTGCTTCCATTGAAGGCCACATATATTTTGTTCAGGTACTATTCAGTTTGGCGGTACAAAACTTATGGTTTCTTACATAGAGGAGAAGCATGCAAGTTTTTGAAGAGTTACCCCTTCTATAGATTTTCTTTTTTATCTGATTTTCCCCCATTTATTTTAAAAAATGAGAAAAGGGAATCTTGGTCATATATATTTTTTATTTGTATTTAATTGTTCATGTACAGAATATTTTATAGAAAACTCGTTTTTTGTTTGGTAATGTGATCATACAGCTTCATGGTTCATCTTACGAAGAAGTTCGATTTAGTTTTTTTGTGATATGTCAGGTTCATGTGGTGTGAAATGAATGGGTTAAACAAGGAAAAACAACAAAGAAAACTATGATGTTGCAAAATTCTGATTGAATGTAAGGTTTCAAGTTAGGGCTTGCCATGACGTCAAGTTCAAGTTTGAGGTCCCCTGGTTTCTGGTGTTGGTGGAAAGGGGCCGTAGAACTGGTGGGTGTTTGATATGATGGGAGTTTAAAATTGATTACCTACTAATCCGATAGCAGTTATCAATTAAATGGCAAGTATACCAACTTCTTAGATAGACTATTTCCATCCAACAGTTCAAGAAATGGGAGTACTCGTACTTTCTGAAAGACATTCTTTTGTAGCGAATCCAAATCTTTCTTCAGTGGCCTACTGGGCTACATGAGAAAGAAAATAATTTCTGTCGTAGGTTATATAAAATCTTTTAACTTTTTATCCCAAGTGAATTCTTAAGCTTGGAAGTTGAATTGTTGGCTCCCTTCATGACTGAATAAATCTTTTCGACGTGAATCAATTTGGTTCTGTAATGTGATTTTTGGTGTTCATTTGGCTAGTCAAGTCTCAGCAGATGAAGTAGTTGTCCACATGCAGAGCTAACCATGTTGGTCACTTGACTTGTTCAATAATTTGTTTTACTGCCTAACTTTTGAATGGTAGTTGAAGGTGTGACCTTAAGAAAGGATGTTGCTTAGCCTAATGTTCTGCCGGTTAATATCTACCATTTAACTTCCACACACAGAGGATACCATCATCCTCCAGAAGTATTTTTCCCTCATCTTAAGTCACCAATGGATCCGCCGCCGCCGCCGCCGCCGCCGCTGCCACCACCACCACCACCACCACCATCACCCCCACCATCTACTGTTCCACTACTTGGTCCAGGGCGTCATGGTGGAGGATGCTTGGATTCATGGTTAGCTGTTCTTTTTCTTTTTAATTTCATACATCTGGAGGAACATGCAACGTTGGTAGCTAGAATTTGAGGTTGTACTATGTTATTAATTACTCCCTGGGAATATTAACATTTTGCAGTTTATGGTTTCTGTGTTGCTGTGGCTTATGTTCATGCTGCTGCCCTCCACTGTTTGAGCCTGTGCCTCCTCCTCCCTAAAGCTGCATTTCTTTGGATATCTTTGGTTCGTGAGAAGAAATTAGAGCACATAGTTCATTGACACCTTATCTTCTGCTTTTTGGCCAAAAAATGTTGTGATAACAAGATTTCTTTTGTATTGATTCCAACTTTTTTTTTTTTTTTCAATTAATTGGGTGTTATGTGGTTCTGTCATCTGTGTCTATGTTTAGCTGCTGAATTTTTAGTTCCAGCTCTGCCCATGATGTAGCTTCTCCAATTTGTCCTTTGCAGTGAATAATATTTGTAGATTTAATTATAATGTAGTCCATATATTCTATTGAGACTAATTAATTGGTCCCTATAGTGCTGGAAATATTACATGGCTCATTAACCAACATCAATCATCCTCAATTTGTCCTTTTTTTTAAAAAAAAAAGCCTTCTTTCCTACTCAAACCTTCTCATCCTTCCTGCTTTGCTTTTTCCGATTCTAATTTTCAAAAAGGAAAAAACAAAACAAATTTGAAAAAAATCATGGTATTGATAGAAAGCCTAAGTTATTGATGAATTAAAAAATTTAAGGATTAAATATTTTTCGTTTGCTAAACTATGAGGGTTAATTAATTAGTTTCATTAAACTAGTAGAACTAAATTATAATCAACTCAAATTTTCAAATTTTATTTTGCTATCTGTAAGTCAGTACGCATTCTAATACCAGAGTAGAGGAAACCAATTAACCAGGGATTGATAAAAAGACAGGTTTAATTATATAGTAAGTTTTAGCAGATAGGGATGTGTTAAAGAATTTATATTTGGTTGCTAACTGAAAAAAATGAAATTGAATTTAATTAAGCTCTTCATGATCATGGTATAAATTGAAATGGATTTCCCACCTCAAGTTTACGTGTTGTTTTGATTTCACTTAAAATTTTTTTTTTTTTCAATTAAATCTGGTATCTTTCGAATTTGTTCTATTCTCTATCAATTTCTATTTGAAATGGTAAAGAAAAAGTTGTGTAGATTTCAATTTCGTATCCAAAGTTAATGGAATATCTCAATATAACCCAAAAACTAAAAATTAAAAAATTCACTGAAGTAAGACATCTTTTCAGTAAAACAAATATGATAAAAAAATAATTTTTTTTATCAACAATATCTACCAATATTTTGACAATACAAAAATATGATTGAGCTAAAAACAAATTTGATAGAAAAAAAGAAAAATTAACACCAACATTAACCACCATTGTTGTTGCTTTACACTCTCTTACTTTATCATATCTATACATTTATTAAATTCTCTATTAAAATCTTGAACTCGAATTCTGAAAAAAAAAAAAAAAAAAATCAAAATCCCATATGATTGGAATAGTAGAATGAGGATAGGATAAGTTTGACATTACCTAGAGCTAAATTCATTTCAATCTTAATTTTTATTTAACTATAGTATTGATAAAAAAAAAATGTGGTTACATGAGAATTAAAGTTGATAGCATTAAAATTGAAATTGGTAAATTAGGTATTTTTTGAGAAACTAATCCTCTCAAGTTTTATTATATTTGTTTAACTGAAAAATGTATTTTCCAATTGATTTTTTGCTTTTATTTTTGTTAATTTCATTTTTTTCTTTGTTTTTTTGGATAATATTGAGATATTTCATAAGTTTAGTAGATGGAATTAAAATTTACACACATTTTCGGTTACTATTCCTAACATAAAAGGAGGAAGGGGGAGAAATTGGAGCAAACATAAAAGCTACGGGTGCTGACTGAAACAACAATGAAAGATATGTAGGCTAAGTGAAATAAATCTAAAGTTTAGGTGACATTGAGACAATATACAAATCTGAGGGGAAAAATTGAAATTTACCTTTTATTAGTTTAATATAATTGCACGAAATAGGGCATGAATAATTAATTCCTCTTTTCTGTATCAACTTCTCTGAATTTCTTACTTATGGGCTTTGCCTGAGGCCAGACAGAATAGCAAGGAAAACCACGGCAAAACTAAGCTGAAGCACAATGGCCTCCAAAGGGGCAGCGCCAAGCACTTACACTCCCACTCCTACCAAGAAAACCCGTCCTCCAATCTTCAGTGACTCTGATGTCGACTGGCTACGTCCCGATGGTCGCGGTTTCCACCAGTGCCGACCCGCCTGTATGTATATATATTTCCCTTTTCTCTCTTTTTTTTTTGTTGCTTTTTATATATATATAATTTTCTAAGTAGTAATTAGCGTTTAATCATGTCCTTCGATTACACTGAATGAATTATCAGTTTTTGGCAGGTGGGTTTACTCTTATGTTCTTTTTTTACTTTATCTCCTAGGATGTTTAATTTACGCTAGCATGTTTTCTCTCTGTCTGCATTCTTCCTGTTCTTTCTTTCTTTCCCGTTCTATATCATTATATGAAGGGTTGTCAGCCGTGATGTTTCAAGGTTTCTTCGTTTAAATTTCCATTTTTGGCTTCTTTCTGTTTGATTTTATTATCTTCCATCTTTATATCCCATGATCCTGTTTAAAAGATGCTGCATTTTAATTATTTAATGGTGTTGTGCAAAGGAAAAAAAGAATGATTATTTGGTTCTTCATTTATTTTCCAGATGATTCGAATTCTCTTACTACGGGCATGGAATTTTAAAAAATTGAGGTTTCTATCTCTGCGTGTAGAAATCTGGTTATTATTTACATTTTCATTAGGAATTCTCATTGTCTGGCCATGTACCTTTTAACTGCCCGTCTGTCTCTGCTTCCTTTTTGTTATGGAGTGCCAACCGGAACTGACTTTTCGGTGCTGGGTTGAGCGCACCCATGGATGAAACTGATTCTCATGTTCTGTTAGCATAGTCGTTATGTCATAGGCACTAAATCCCACCAATTTCTACTTTAAATGGGTGGCCCTCGTCTTTAATATCAATGTGGTTGGTCAATACTGACGTGAAAATTTTATTTTGAATTTGCAATGATGTTGGGGTTAAAACTTTTGATTCTTAATAGACAATACGTAGTTCATATTTCCATTTTTTTTATCTGTTTGTATGTATCATACACGTAAGTTACCTACTTTCATCTGGGATTATGCAGGCATGACATGATTGTAGTCTATTTACCTTAACAGAGATGTTTTTCGTTTGCAGTTTTCAGGACTGGTGCCGTGAATTCTGCTGCAGGATCAGCTTATGCTGAATTTGGAAATACAAAGGTCATTGTTTCTGTGTGAGTGTTGCCTTTTCTTTATGTGTATCACATTCTCACTATTTCTGTTTTTCTGGTTAAATTTTAAGTTACATTGACATGACGGAACCATGATATGAGATATAATTATTACAGCAATCTCCATGATGTTACTTAAATTGCATCGTATTGCCCTTTCTTGCTTTAGGTTTGGGCCCAGAGAAAGTAAGAAAGCAATGATGTATAGTGACGTGGGCAGGCTTAATTGCAATGTTAGCTATACCACTTTTGCCACCCCTGTTCGTGGACAGGTATGTGAAGCAACAGCATCTTCAAAATTTATGATGTTGACCTTCAAATTCCTATCATCTTTTTGAAGTTATAGTAGCTAATATATGATGCCTCTTTTTTGTTAGGGATCAGACAATAAAGAGTTCTCCTCCATGCTTCATAAGGCTTTGGAAGGCGCAATAATGTTGGAAACCTTTCCAAAGACAACTGTAGATGTATTTGCATTGGTGTTAGAATCTGGTGGCAGTGAGTTATAGCTTCATACTCTCCTTTAAATCTTGGTCTATTTTGGGGAAATAAAGGGGTGAGGAATGAAAATTAAAGACAGGTTAAGAAAATATATGCCTACCGTAGGTTTTCCTTTAGAAAGGAATGCATGTCTTGTCTACATGATATCACAACCACCTTTATGACATACTATGCATAACTTGTACTGGGAATCTTGTTTTTATGTTTACGTTCCAAAGAGTGTAAAGCTTTTTCATGTCTTTTAAGTTTGCTTCCTTGTTTCTGCAGCCTGGTTTTTCAATGAAATTTTACTTGGTATTAAGAAATATTTTCTTTAAACTCATTAACAAGATTATGTTTTTGCAGGTGATCTTCCTGTTGTAATATCTTGTGCAAGCCTTGCCTTGGCAGATGCAGGGATTATGATGTATGACCTTGTTGCTGGAGTTTCTGTGGTATGCATCATGCATAGACTTGAGGTTTACTGACACTGTTTCTAGTTGTTATCTGGCATGAAGTTTATAAATTATATGCATATACACAATTATCCATTCAAGTTAGTTAAATATCTTCTAGTTTCTACTTTAATTAGTCTGCTTGATTATTATTTGATGTGGATAAACCAACTCTAATCATTAGACACAGAACTGCAAATTTCATAGCTTACAATCAATTATGCTCAATCTAGTTATTGATCATCATTCTGCTGCCAATATTTTGACCTGCCAACTCCTGTTGCTGATCACTTAAAGATGATAATGCTTGGGTACCCTTAAATCCACCCTTTAGAAGTTAAATTCTTTATTCTAATTGATCTCCTATTCAAGTATTTTATTTTGGTTTCTTTGTTTCTTCATTTTTGCCCCCTAGTTTTGCTTATATGACTTCTTCATCACCCAGAATATTTATTGATTGAGTTCCTGTATAGAATGTGTTCAATATGCAATAAATTTTGTTGAATCTTAAATAGCCTATTACCACCTCTCTTTGTTTGTTCTGAAAATGTGGTGTGTTCATAGTTTGACAATTTGAGCATCAGTTAGTATTTTCACTTATTTATTTATTGCTAAGAATTGATAGAAGTAAGATGTGTTCTTTTATCATAAGCAGTAGAAACTTTATTTGGGTGTTTGGTGTAAGTCTTTGGGGTCGAATACTTTGTAATGGGTAGTTTTCCCAAATTTTGAACTAGTAATAGGAATTGACCGAACTGTCTTTTTGTGCAATTTATTCATCTTAGCCAGTTCCTTTGTTCAAAATTTGAACTAGTAATGGGTAGCTTTCCCAAATTTTGAACTAGTTATAGGAAATGATTGAACTGTCTTTTTCTGCCATTTATTCATCTTAGCTTGTTCCTTTGTTCACTTCAAAATTTGTTAGCTCTTAAAAGGCCATCTTTTAGCTAGTCCAATTGAACGTGGGTTGTGGAAGGAATAGTTGGAGATATTTAAATTATTGTGCTTTGCTAAATAACTACTCATTGATGGCAATTATGCTTTGACATGGCTCTTTATGAGTAGATGGAGATCAGAAAACTTAGGTGGTCTAGTTAATATTAGCTGCCTTATTGCATTTTTTTCCCTTAGCCTGGTATCGGTTGGCTCTTTTCTGTAGAAATCATTCTGAGGCCGTTTGTAACTAAGTTGATGGTGATGCAGTAGAAAGTAGAAACATATTAGTGCAAGGATGGCTCGACAAGCTTTAAGATGTCTTTACAATGTTGTGTGGTTCTTTACTTACTTCATTCAATATATATGCAGCTGTTTTAATGATTTGAACTTGTTTGTTTAGTTCAAGTTTTTGTTTCTTATCAAATTTTCATGTTTTGTAAATTTGCTTCATTTGTTTTGCAGTCTTGCCTTGGTAGAAACCTCATCATTGATCCAATTTTGGAAGAGGAAACTTTTCAAGATGGAAGCCTGATTATCACTTGCATGCCTTCTCGTTATGAGGTCACACAGCTTACTATTTCAGGGGAATGGTCAACTGCAAAACTGAATGAGGTGCATCATCTAAACTGCAAATGTTTTGTTGTGAACTACAGGAAAAATTATATCTCATGCATGGCAGTAAGCAATCTAAGGTGTATGCAGTCTAGCTGTACTGATTTTATTTTTCACAAACAGGCGATGGAGCTTTGCTTGGATGCTTGCTCAAAGTTGGCAAAGATAATGAGGTCATGTTTGAAAGAGGCTGCTTCAGCTTCACAAGATTAGAAAGAATCTCTTTCTAGTAATTTTGCGAGTATCATATAGGTCACCTTTCAGCTGTTTTTTTTCCCCCTTTCCCTCTTTAAACAACAAACAATATATGCAGTTTTGTGAGAATTTTCAATTTTCCTGATTATTGCTCACCTGTCTCTACAATTCTTCTTTTTCTCGCTACCATCGATGTATTTCTGTAGCCTGTGTTTCATGTAAGCCAGCTTCTTACACTACAATGCAGAGTGGTGATGAATTTTCTGTACTGTATTCGTTATAGCTTCTAGTCTCATCTTATGCTTACTTCATCTCCCCATCCCAAGTGTAATTTTGTGCAATTGTTGCATTGTTGTCGTGTTAGCAATCTCATTTGGTTGTTTTTTTACATTTTATGATAAATCCAGCATTAAAATGTTGAAAATTGAGGTTACAATGCTTCATCTGCTTTGCAAAGGTACTGGGATGTTAGCTTATTGTTGACTAATGCAGCAAAGGGTATGCTTTGATGACCTTATAAGTTCAAGGTTGAGTTTATTAACAAGTACACTCTTGAGAAGCTACCCAAAAAAATTGAAAGAAGAGCTAATCATACATTCAATAAGAATATCTGAAATAACTCTTGGCAGTTAGCAAGCAACTATTAACGACATAAAAATGAGTTTTTTTTTTTTGTTGGTCTTGATCAAAGTTCATTGTTTTGGTAAAGCAATTACGAACAAAAATTTCATTCTGTAAGTGTTACTAGTCACAGTGCTCTCTGTTTTGATTGTCACTTTTCGCTTATGTTAATTAGCATTGAATTTGATTTCTTTCTGGTTTGAGAAGCACTAGACTTGATTTGAAATTACATTTTTCAACAAGTTAAGGATGATGAATTTTCATTCTCTGTGTAGTCTGATGTGATGGTGACTGGGGTGCTAATGTTAGATGCTAAAGCCATAAGCTGCTACAAGAACAAGACTCCGATCCCTCTCCGAAGGTTTTTTCCCATCCATTAAAAAGGCAATTCAAGGCAAAGGTTCCTCCAATATAAAAGGGTTTTTATATGGACAGAGACAAATATGGTTGGAGATGCACAAGATCACAAATCAGAGACGCCCTGATGGAAATGATTGACATTCTAATGCATAATCTCTAGGATTGGAAACTGCTGTCTTCTTAAGCCACCAACAGACAATTCATTAGGTGGTTTTTTTTTCCCCAAAGAAGTCAATTCGTTAAAGATAATTTTAATCAATCGAAAGAGAAACTCTAGCATTATGGCTTAAAACAAAGCAATAAAGCATGGTTCTTCAACAATATTGGCTGGAAAAAGAGTCCTAATTGTGTTTTAATTAATTTCTTGAGAATTCCTTTTGCAATTTCCCTGGCAGACAGAACTAAAGCATTTCTAATTATGTGCCAAAAGAAAAATAGGTTGTAGAAGGATGATAGTTTCGAACCAAATAATTAATCACCAAATGCTACTTTTACAAATACAACATAGCATAGCACAACACACAACATTCACCATAAATTACAATATTTTTAACCATGTAGTCTCTACATTTCAAATTGGCTTCAATTTGAATTAAATCAATATTAAAAAAAAAAAAAAAAAAAGAGAGGCTTAAATGTCACTGTATAAACGTCCAAAAATACACGAGAAATTATATACAAGAGAAAGAGATGCTTTTCTTTTCTAGCAATCCACCCAGCACCTCTATTATTTTGCTAAAATATGATCTATATTTCGAAACCATCAAAATCTTGAATAAATCTTTAATTAACACTTATTAATTTTTAATTTTCTCCTTTCTCTAATTTAATCCAGATTTTCTCATGTTTACTCAACATTTATTAATTTTTAAACTGATAAAAAAAAATTGATTTAATCCTTAGTTGAATAACTAATTATACGCAAAGTTTTTTAAGACAAAACTGTACACTCTAAGTCAGCAACAGAACAATATCCTTATTTATTTTGCAAATTTTCCTTCTATCCTTCTTTAAATATTTCAGAATATGACTTATTAACTAACATTTATCTATATGATGGTGCTTTATTGACATAACATATCTAACCATGCTAAAGGGAGACAAAAAAAAAAAAAAAACGAAGAAGAAGAAGAAGACATAACATATCTAGGAGGATTGGCTTATATTTTTGTCCTATATATTCACCAAATGTTCCATATCTGTCCCGATATTTTAAAATTTTAGAAACCAGATGCTTAAAAATTTTGAAAACCACGCTCAGATTACATACGTAAATTCACACGATCTCCTTAGAATTTTTAAAATTTTGAAAACATTTTCTTTTTATTTGATAAATAACTTGATCCTATCATTCTGCACGAGGCTTGAATTGTGTTGTCTATATTACTAGTGTGTGTATATATGTTAAAAGATATATCTCCGTGGTGTTCGTACTAAAAGAGACGAACGAGAGAAGAAAAACCAAATATATTTTATTATTATTATTTTTAATGGAGAAGACACTTTTGAGGCTTTGGTCCTTGGTTCCTCCATCTAGCTATCAACGTATCAAATCCAGCCTGTTATTATGATATGAGGAAACAACTGTTGGGTGGCCATGCATGATTAAATGCTGACAGTTGTGTATTCTCAATAACTTCTTTTAAAATTCGAATCACAGTAATATCAATTTATTAATTTTATTGTTATCCAACAGAAGAGTACTACTACTACTACTACTTTTATTGTGTAGTGAGAGAAAAAAAATGTAACTGGATTAATATAATTAATTAGGTTCTCGATCTTAGACTTTACACTGATCTTTTTTATTTTATCTTTTTTTTTTTTTCCTTTTCTAGTAGAGTGGATGGAGAGCTAGCCATCAGCTACACCCTAGCAAATATATTTCTTAATGATAACTCATGCATGCCAGGGGAGGATGAAGAAGAATAAATCTATTCAAAAGTCTGACTTTAATTGAACTCCCAACTTAACAAGAATTGGAACAAGTTTGCAATCCCAGCTCCGAACGAAGAAACCCAATATGGATTAGAGCTACCGAATATATATATGACAACACACGGGTTTCTTTAGAGTTTATTTCCACCATCACTTTTCTATAACTCAAGTTTTAAGCAATATATAGCTTTACACTCATTGACATTAATGAATAAATTAGACGCTGAATTTATTAATTCGTAGAAACCCAATTTAATTAACACTTAATTAATGGTGGGTTCAAAATATATATTATTAGCTGGAACTTGAAGCATTAATTATTGGAGAAATCTTAGTCAATCATCTCCGACTGTCAAGCATAGAGGGACATCAAGACATGGTGTGAAGGCCCCAATTGCATCCCCATCCGTTCCATGACTTCAATGGCTACCGTTTCTTTCTACTAAATCAAAATCTCCAATTCAATTTGTTTTTTCGATTTAAACTAAGTAGTGCTACCTCCAGACTATATGTCTCGTAGAGATCATGAAACAAATACTAGTTTAGTTTTTGTTAAATATTTACCCAAATCTTATGGAAAGAACTAAATTAAAAAATATATATATCTAGAATAAAAAAACCAAATAAATAAATAAAAAGTAAAAGATCATCTTAAGAAAAATATCAAGAATAAATATAAGTTGGGACGTTGTAAACGTTTCGAATTCTTAATTGCCAAAAGACAAAAAACTTTGATTTTGTATTTATTTAGTAAGATTCCAAATTTACCCACATAAACATGATTTACAGGTATTATTTGTTTTCACAAACGGAGAGAAATGCCCATGTTTTTGTTACCCTCGCGGGAGGGGCCCTCGGCAAATGGAGGAATCATGAGTTGGCATCTTGGGATCATGATCCATTCCAAATGGAAACTGTACCTAGAAATTGGAGCTGCCGAATCTATGACGGAAATTCCAATGCAGCGATTACAAAAGGGCCAACAACAAGCACACGGAGGTCAAAACGTCCAATTATCGTTTTGGACTTCATGAGCGGCTGAAAGTCAAATCAGGGCATCACCCGCTGACCACCGTCAAGTCACTGTACAAATGCCATCCTTCGTTACAGATATTGGCTTCTTCTAGCTGAGACTTCGATCTTCTAGTTGTTCTTTTTTCTTTTTTCTTCTAATTGTTTGATAAAATTTCAAAAGCTTTTTTATTTTATTTATTTATTTATTTTTAAGCACAACTACAAGCTTCTATAAAAACGACAATTAATACCTCTAACCATACCAAAAACTACAGCTAAAAACCATTGTTGTGCAGAACAAATTAAGTTTTAAATTAAATTAGTCCATTCGACCATCTCTTGGTATGAGATAGATATTAATTTTTTATTATGATATTAACAATAAGAAATCAAAAGTATTATTTTAAGTAAATGAAATCTTCCAAAAAAATATATATATATATATATTGTTTAATTTTTTTTTCCATATTGTATATGAAAATATATAGAACAACAATAAAAATTTAGTGCATATAAAGAATAGATAATAATAATAAAAAATCATTTTTTTGGGAAGCAATAATTACTTTCTTTGTCTAATTTCAAGGAGCGCTTTCTAAATAAATTTATGCTCTTTTTAAAAATAAAAAAATAATATTAAACGTATGCTAAAAAATAATACTTAAAAAATAAAAGATAAATTATAAAAAGGTTATTTTTTCTCTTAAATCATTTTATTTAAGTTGAACCTATAAATTCGAATCAACAGTTTGGATTCAATCCATTTTTGATAGGCCTTGCCAAGTTGAAATTATACACATGAGATCAGTTACTGGCAATTGAGTGGAACCGCCATTAAATTCAATTGCTGTAAGGAACAGCGTGAATCTGTGGCATATTCACGTGTCAAGATGCCATAGGCAAGCAATATCAAAATCTTACTCAGTCAACTCCTCGGATCTTTACAAATTTAACGATGCACTTTGCAACAAGTACATAAAAGAACAGAAGCCTCTTCCAATTAGTCCTTTCTCTTGTCGAGGACACACTCATATGTCTTTGTCTTCTGTCTCTCCCACTCCTTTCCTACAATTTAATAATTAGAAATTCATTTCATAATTTATTGTTTAGCTTCCCTGTCTTTTGCTCAGATTTTTAAAGCTGTTACAATATTACGATTTACATCTATACATAGCCATAGCTATAGCCAACATTTTTTACATACTAGCTAGGAGTCGGGGATTGAATTAGAAGAAGTGTTGTTTTTTGGTATTGATATTTATTCCAAGAATGGAAAATTAAATTCTACCTGTGCTGAAAATCAGCAACAACTCAAGGGGGAAGCATAGAAGAAGGAACTGGGCTCAATGAATGGAGGACTAGTTTGCAATGTAAGAGCTCTCCCTTTCTCTTTGTCAAGCGTTAATGGGTTCCAAGTTTGTAAACAGATAAGTTATGTTTGCTTACAACTTTACTGTACAAAATATGTGTGCTTTGTGGGTTTGCTGTCATTTTAATTCCTGATTAAAAAAAATGTTTTTGTTTGAATCTATATATGTTCCTATGCTTAATTTCGAGTAAGTAAATACGTACCCCCATGGTGTGAAGCGATTTTAAATTTCAGTCATACATTGCATTCCTTAATTATGCTTCGATTATAAGGCAAGAAATCAAAGTCTGTGCTTTTTGGTCTGGTTTCAATCACTTTTTGTTGCATATGATGGATATTGATGCATATGCCGGTTTTTGAGCACAAGCTAGGGTGCGTGCCATAAACTTTGGAGTTGTGTTTCAAACTTGTCATAATTCAAGACATCATAAAGGTTCTTTACGGTTATCAAATGTTACTGATTCAACATATATTGAATTTAAGGAAAATCCTTAACTGTAAAGGTGTGTGTCCTAACTGTTTGCAGCTTTAATTAAGGTGGTATATATTAAAAGAAATCTGTTCACGTGTTTGACTTGCATTTTTCCTGAAAAGGTGGGAGGGTAGTCTTTTTCTAGCCAGCTTGATGTCCAAGTTGATACAGATCTTTGCGGCTTTAGTTCACATGATACCTGGTTTAAGAAGAGGCCATGGATTTACTGCCTTCTTTGTTTGCCGCTTGTGGCTTTAAACTAATGTCTTGTCAGTTTCAGTTGATCCAGTGCTGCCTATGCCAACAAGTAGATGATTTTTACTTACCCTTATATTTGCACACAATCTTTCCTGTATTACAGATCAAATCCATTAATTGAGGCCACAGCTTTACTCTCAGTAGAACAAAATGAGATTTGGAAATTCAAATTCTGTAAGGTTTGTACATTTCTACTTCTTTAGTTCTTATCATAATTTATCATCGAATTTCTAATGTTGCTCTACACGCTCCATATACATCAGTCGGCAAGTGCTAGCTAGCTAGTTTCATGTTTATGACTAATTTCATTGTCCAATTTAGCCAACTGAATATGTGGGATTGATCACTGCCTAAATTTGAGACTTGCATGTAACAACGTTTCAGGTTTAGAGATGATTTGGAATCAAGCTTTCGGCCGGCAGTCAATGGAGATGGTGCAGTTAAGCTAAAATACAATATTGATGGAACACAAATATCAGAGTCTAGTAGGAAGATGTCTCAGATGGAGGTGCCTGGGAACACTGGAAAATCATTTAAAGCTAAAATACTGTCCAGAGTTTTCTCTGAGGATTATGAGAGGGTGAAGAAGAAGATATTGGATCCTCGAGGACCATCAATACGGAGATGGACTAAGATCTTTTTAGTAGCATGCTTAGTTTCTTTGTTTGTTGATCCTCTATTCTTTTACTTGCCTGAAGTATGGAATGAAGTGTGCATTGATATTGGAATACCCCTCGAAGTAGCCCTTACAATTGTTAGATCAATAGCTGATGTCTTTTACATGATTCAAATTTTCATTCGTTTTCGTACTGCTTACGTTGCGCCTTCTTCCCGTGTTTTTGGGAGAGGAGAACTTGTTATAGATTCTAAAAAGATTGCATTAAGGTACCTACAGAAGAATTTCTGGATTGACCTTATTGCTGCCTTGCCTCTTCCTCAGGTATGCCGATTCTGTGTCATTTAGTCGGCATATAAGCAGGCAGATAAATTAATGAATATATCACAGGTTAATCAAGGCCTTTTTGTTGCTTTATCTACATTACAGGTGTTAATTTGGATTGTTATCCCCAATCTTAGTGGTTCAACGATGACAAACACTAAAAATGTCCTTCGGTTCATAATCATTTTTCAGTATTTCCCACGACTTTTTCTGATATTTCCGCTCTCATCGCAAATTGTCAAGGCCACTGGTGTTGTAACAGAAACAGCTTGGGCAGGAGCTGCTTACAACCTGATGCTTTACATGCTGGCTAGCCATGTAAGTTCAAACTTGATGAACTTTAGATTATTATGGGTTTTGTCTGAATAATGGAGAATTCAAGCCGTCTCTTCATAGTATTTCTTACTTGTAGAGAAGCAAACAAACCTCTTTTTTAAGTGCACCGGTCTATATCACTTGATGACCTTGTCAGAATTGCCAGCGTTGTTAGTGTTTCCTTTTCTGTCTATGTTTAACTTAATCACCTGCTTAGATTCATAGTTCCTGAAAGTAAGCTTTTTGATGTTTCTTTCGAGGTTTTTCTTTCGTTTGTTTCGCCCATGGGCATGCTATTTTTCAGCTCTTGGTTTGTCGTTGAGATACAAAACTTCATCATCGCCAGCAACAATGTGTTGAATAGTTGAGAAGTTACTGTAATTGCAAGTGAAGTATATATATCCAATGTTTCATATTACATTTAGTTTACTTTCGAGTGATCGATTTTGTGACAAGCTATTTCTGGTCAAATCAACGGGCTACATGTTAAAGCAAATGTGTGTTGCTGTGTATAAGCTAAATGGTGACCCTCAGCCAATTCATTTCTTTGCTGCAAATCAGGTTTTAGGAGCTTGCTGGTATCTTCTATCAATCGAGCAACAGGAAGCATGCTGGAGAAGTGTCTGTGATCTGGAGAAGCCATCTTGCGAATATGGATTCTTCGATTGCCATAGGGTGCACGACACTCCTCATAGGGACACTTGGTTCAAATCAAGCAACATCACAAACTTTTGCAATCCACAGAATAATTACTATCAGTTTGGCATATATGGCGATGCGTTGACGTTTGATGTCACGACTGCATCATTCTTCAACAAGTACTTTTACTGTCTTTGGTGGGGCTTGAGGAACCTAAGGTAATCTGCATTCTAATCTCCTAGACCTAGTCTACAGCCATGTTTCGTGAGCCCTTGCAGCAAGTTTAATTCTAGCCACCCATATATAGGATCACTGAGAGGATTTAAGCGCATCATTTAAATTCCAAACTGATTTTTTTTTTTTTTCAAAAATCAAATATAAATGACACTGTTTTATTAATGCTCCTTTTTAAAAGAGTTAAACTTGTGCCTTAAATTAATCTCCTAGGCATTTATAGACCTTGCCTTGTCTGATAGAGGGATGCTCAGGCAAACAAAATGTTCTAAAAGTTGTCGTTTTAATATTCTTATAAATGCTAATTTTAGCTACTTATTTACTATTTTGCTTTTCCCCGACAATGAAAGGAATCACATTTTGCTTTTTCAGCCAATTAAGAGCTTAATAACGTGCATGATTAATGGTTAAAAATGAATCCATTTTCCATCTCATTTATTCGTAACCACATCTTGCACACAAACATGTCATCAAATGGTTTAAAAATTAGGAATCCGTTTTCTAATAATCTTTTTCATCCATCCCCGCAGCTCATTGGGGCAAAATCTTTCAACAAGCACTCATGTGGGTGAAATAACATTTTCCATCATCATTGCAACGCTTGGACTGGTTCTCTTCGCATTGCTTATTGGGAATATGCAAGTAAGTCCTTCACATTTTTATTAATACCAGATTTCTGTAGCTAATTTATGCTTTCCTGCGTAAGTAAAATGCCTTAGGACTCCCCTATGCTCCAATAACTGATGGTGCACAACTTGTTTAGGGTTGCCTTAGCATCAGCCCTTATTCTTAAACTTCTTTCCCAGAACCGAGAAACTGAGGCAATCAGAAAGTCCAGAAAATATATCTTTAGTCCTTTCGCAATATTGCTTTTGTTCTCTAAACCATTTCTCTAAATTCTCAGGAATGTTTGGGTTGATACTCTATGTATCAAAGTTATTCACTACTGATATACCTTCCATATGCAGACATACCTACAATCAACAACAGTTCGGTTAGAAGAGTGGAGAATCAAGAGAACTGATATTGAACAGTGGATGCGTCACAGGCAGCTACCGCAAGAGTTAAGGCAGTCTGTTCGGAAATACGATCAGTATAAGTGGGTGGCCACTAGGGGCGTTGATGAAGAAGATCTTCTCAAAGGCCTGCCTATGGATTTGCGAAGAGACATCAAACGCCATCTCTGCCTTGATTTAGTTCGGAGAGTAAGTCACTGTATCCAACGTTCCTTTTATGCACACCAGACTTCAACTCGACATGTGTCATGTGTGGTCCTTAATCTGTTTGTAAAACGAGGCATGGATGGTGTGTTTGAAAGCTTGTAATAGCATTGTTAGGACAGAATAAATTGTGTTGGATCAGTTTAATTGACCACAGAAGTGATTACTGAAACTGTGAATAGAAATTTGATTCAAGCTAGCTATACCCGGTACTAAAAGCAGAAATGTCTTTTATCTGCTTATATATGCAGTGATTCAAGGGAAAAAAGAAGTGATATCTAAGTTTGGAAGTATTTTGGTTATTTTGTTTAATTAGCTGCGGTGAAGCCAATTTGCTACTTATGCCGTTTATTTATTTACTTCCTTGATCATGCTCTATAGGCTAGTTGGAAAAGGTAGACCAAATAAGTTAGAATTTAAGTACACATAAGGGCATTAATAATGAGGAAGTTCCTGGTTTGTGCTTGTTATATGATTGACATGCATTTCCTTCTGAAACACACAGGTTCCATTATTTGATCAAATGGATGAAAGGATGCTAGATGCAATATGCGAGAGGCTTAAACCTGCGTTGTGCACTGAAGGCACGTTTCTTGTGCGTGAAGGTGATCCTGTCAATGAGATGCTCTTCATAATTCGAGGCAACCTTGATTCCTACACCACTAATGGTGGCCGAACTGGATTTTTCAATTCCTGCTGCATTGGTCCAGGTGACTTTTGTGGTGAGGAACTGCTAACATGGGCATTAGACCCACGCCCAAGTGTCATCCTCCCATCATCTACTCGCACAGTTAAAGCTATTTTGGAAGTGGAGGCATTTGCCCTCAGTGCAGAAGACTTGAAATTTGTAGCATCACAGTTTAGAAGACTTCACAGTAAGCAACTAAGACACAAGTTCCGGTTCTACTCACACCATTGGAGAACATGGGCTTCTTGTTTCATACAAGCAGCATGGCGCCGGTATAAGAAACGGAAAGAAGCAACCGAACTCAGAGCTAGAGAAAACCCAACAGCTGCTGATCCTGAATCACTATCAACAGCTGCAGGAAGGCTGGCCGCGAGCGCTAGAAGGGGTGTCATTAAGCATTCTGGTTCAAATTCACGTGTCGTGAGCTCACTGCAAAAGCCGGACGAACCAGATTTCTCAGTAGACGAGGAATGAGTATTACTAGACTCCCATGCATGCTTGGATGTATAAATTAGTACATTAATTTGTAATTTTAGGCAACATTAGCAAGTGCTTTTATTCTATTATTTAATTATTTGTCCTTAAACATTATAAGGCTATCGGTAGTTAGGACAACTTGTTAATTATACACTAAAGCAAACCATTTTATCAGTTGAAGTGATCCAATCATGAATTCTATGTGGAAGTTGGGTTTAAATTTGGTACTGAAGATCAAGGGGAAGCGTAATTCACATGGTCAATATATCTAGCCAGCTAGCCTTAAGCCTGTGTCAAAGAATCCAGGGTATGAGCATACCTTTCACCCTTCTAGGCTTTTCTAAAACTAGACCCATTGAGAAAAAAAATAAGGGCCCAATAAGCATTATGTAAGGTAAGAATAGACCTAAATAAACAAGATTCGGCTTAAAACATATCTCTCACATTTCTGGGCTTTTCTAAAACTAGACCCAATGATTACGTAAGGGGGAAAAAAAGAGGTCCAATAAGCATTATGTACGGTACTTAAAAGGACCTAAACAAACCTACAACCAAAAATCTGTTTGGTGTTGCTGTCACCACGTCTTTTCTTCTTCATTGCCATCATTGGCACTATGTTATGTTTAAGAGTAGCTCTTCTTCTTTTTCTTCTTTATTTATTTATTTATTTATTTTTAGTGGGAACGTCCTCCTTTTGTCATTCTTTCTTAAAACCTATTTTTTCTTCCTCCCTTTTTTTCCGTCAATTTTCAATTAAATAACACAAAAAAATTAAAACTTTAAATCAAATTTCAACACAAATATATCATTTGAATATTGAAAGTTACAACAAAATAGTGTTATCTTATGTAAAAAAAAAAAGTATAACAGCTCTTAGCATAATATAACAGTGTAATAACTATTATCATGTTAAATGCATACTTTAGTATAAGTGACGGTGGCAAGCCTTGTGTATGGAGGACGACGACATGACTTGACTATTGAGGACGACGACATGACTTTAGTGTGAAGGTTGGTGGGAAGACTCGACTATTGGATACAGTCGATATAGCAGCAATGCTCATATATTGAAGACAACTCACAACGTAATAAGAAATGAAATAAAAAGAGGAATGAGAGAAATAACAGGTAATTTTAGTGAGACCTTGGATGGTAGAGGTGACTATAGGTTGAGGCAAAAAAAATAAAAATAAAAATAATAAATAATAAAAAATAAAAAATTATTTCTTTATGATTGAGGAACAATGATGTGGGAAGCTATATAAAAAAAAAAGTGTTCTGAAAATATGCTTTTAATGGCAACAATCTTGAGGAAGATTCCATGTTAGACAGGAGAAATGTGAGTTTTAGAGAGAGACTATGTGAATAAAGTATTTTGGTAATTTACGACCGTAGTTGTGCTATGTATCTAGAAGGACACACGTTATGTTTTCTTGTTTGGTAAAGAAGGTCGCAGATGAATGGGTTATCCATGACGAGCCTTGCTCTAAGTCCATCATGCTAAATCTCTTTTGTCATTTTAAAGGCTCAAAGCTTAGTCATAGGTCATGCCAAACAACTTATGATTAGCTTGGCTTTTCCTTTCCATGTGATATGAGCCCAAACATATTATCTAGTCCGTCCATCCATGTTAATGCTCCATTTAGGTGAGAATGGAAACCCATGCAAACAAAAAAGAAGAGTAAATTATAAATTATTCTTTCTCATTTTGAGAAGCAAAATTAGTCATTCTCATTTCAAAACTAATCATTTGGTCCCTTATGTTTTAATTTTATTAATAACTTAGTACTTTCATTATTTTTTTTGTTAAGTTAATGACGAGATGTCCAACTATAGTATTTTTTATTGATTAGTTGTTTGATCTATTCTCAAGAACCCTCATACATAGGATTCATTGTCAACTCCTTGGCAATAATTTTTTGTTGTAGCAAATTCGAACACTCAACAATTACTTGATGTTTTGTGTAATGCAACTAAGTTCAATTTTCTAGTCCGGTCAAAGATAGGTTTTCCATATCGAGGATAAAGGATATATGAGACTGGGGAAATGTAAATACATACATACATACATATCATAAAAAAGGTAGATCCAATAATAAGTATAAATCATACCTATAAATTTCTCTATTGTTTTGCTTTATATATTTTGTAAATTTCATGTTTAGTGTACCTTCGTAGCAACTTAAAAGTCAACTATGACTAGGTTCTTTATCCCGATCAATTTTAAAGGCACACCTTCCATATCAAATAAGTTATTCGGAGAAATAATTTTCTTTGGATGTTGGATCAACATTCAAACTTAGAAAAAAAAAGAAAAGAAAAGAAAAAAAGAATAAACCTCATTTACCATTAGACCAACATCTCAAGGTTTTTTTTCCCCTTATTGATATGAAAATAAGACACAAAAAAAAGTGACTATAATATTCGTGACCTATAAAACCCTCCTAAAAATGTAAATGTATTGTATAAATATTTTGTAAATTAATAAAAAAAATGTATTTATTGAATGAGTGAGTGAAGTTTGAAATTTCAATTAAGGATAAAAAGAGCACAAGTACAATTAATAGAATGAGTTTATGGAATGAAGGAAGGATGAATTAGACAATGGTATGCTTAATTGATATGGTTATGCATTGCCATAAATGTGCAATTGCAAAACCTAAGGGTATAATCATAAAGATTAAAAGTTTAAGTTCTTAATTAAAATAATTAAAAAACTTTAAAGGACTTTAACTAACTTAGGATTATCTTAGATAATGGCCAAATTGATGAAAAATGTGAAGTTACTTATTGAAATTACATGGTCAATTGCAAGGATTGGAAGTTTGAGGACTAAGGTGTAAAGCACTTATAATGTGAGGGACCTATTAGTTGAACCTAAGGAACAAAAAGATTTAGAAAAATCTAGAATTTCAGATTTAAGGGAAGAGAGAGAGATGGAATAGAAGGAGAAAGAGAAGGGAGAAAGAAAAGAGGAAAACCTAGGGCAAAGAGAGAGAGACTCCATCAATCTAAAACCATAACTCCCAATCACTCTAATTAGTTTAGAAACACCTTATATTAGCCTTCAAACCATCTTAGAAGATTAAGAAAGGAGAGAATAGAATTATCCACTCGGCTAAATTTTATTAGAAGGAAGGAGAAGGAACCAAGGAGAAAAAAGAGAAAAAGGCCAAATTCTAAGTGAGATAAGTATAATTCCTCATCTACACCATAAGAATTTATGTTTTAGTGTGTAATTTTTGTTAATTTAGGATGAAGGGTTAATTAATATGTTGTTGAGGATTATGTGGAAATAATTGAATTGTAATGGTACGGTAATAATTAGGTATTTATTTTATAAGGATGATAATGTTTGAGTGCTTGGATGATGTGAATATTCAATTTTGAAATGTATCCATGTTCTAAGCATAAGGTGGATGAACAATCCATAAACATATATAAATTGACAAGTCACTTTACCTAATGCTTATCATTTGCTTGATGAAATGTCTTAGAGGCATTCCTAAGGCTAGAATGAAGGAATAAAGTTTTCCTTCACTTAGCTCAAACCCGGCTAAGTATGAAAAACAAGTGGCAAAGAGGTAAATGGAAAATGGTCAAATGTGAGGTTTAGAGGAATGGGAATGATTCTCGTTTATATAAAAAATTGATTGATTATGATACTTGTTTGATTAGCCTTGAGATGATATTCATTATTTTTATGAAATATGTATAGTATGTTTTATATTGCATGGATACTTATGTCTTTGGAACATGTAATTGATGCATTATGTTGTGCACGTTCTTGAGAATTTTCAAAGGGTATGCATGTTGAAGAAATATTCATGGCATTGTATTCTGTTCAAATGCATATGCACATCATTATCATGAAAAAATATTTTATATTCATGATTTTGATGAAAGAAAAAAGGAAATTTTTTTTCATAATTTTCATAATTGTTATGATAATGCTATTTCTTTGTCGATGGATTCAAGTAAAGGCCTCGACAGTCGTGGGATTTGGTAAACGCCCCAATTGAAGAATATGTATGGTAAAGGCATTTCTTGGATTCGGTAAAGGCCTCGATGGTTGAGGGATTTAGTGAAGGCCCCAACCAAAGAAATGGGATTTGACCATGTGTAATGTAATATTATTTTATTTTATAAATTTTTTCACTAATTTTTTATGATATAAATTTATTTTTTTAATTTTTTGAAAAATCAAGAAAATAACATAAAATAGATAAAATGACTAAATAATTGGTTTTTGAAACAATACGAAATAATGAATTATTTTTTTAACAAACTAAAGGGACTAATTTATATTTTACTCATTTAAAGCCTCGCATTCTAAGCATGTCTTTGAATTTTGTGCAAGCAACTTGAAATTGGCTGAATAATAGAGTATAAATTACATATTAGTCCCTTTAGTTTTAATAACTGAATTAATTAGCCTTTTTTTCAAAAATTAATTATTTAATTTTTTTAATGAGTGTTTACAATATTTAATGTAATATTAGTTTATTTTACAAAATATATTTTTTTATAATATAATTTTTTTTAAACAAAAAGCAAAAAAAAATTAGAAAGTAACTCAAAATCGCTAAATAATTTATTTTTAAAACAAGAACGACTAACTTATTTTTTTCCAAACTAAATAGACTAATTGATAACTTATTCAATTAAAGCTACATTCTCCAACTTTTGATTGTGAATATCACGTGGGTGTATCTCTTTCTTTCTTTGTTTGTCTCTCTTTGCTACTCGTTTAACTCATGTCCTCTCTTCTTCTTTTCAAATTCTCAATCGAGTTTTCTTTTCTTCATTCTCGTTTCTCTCTTTCTTTCTCAACAAAGCTTTCTTTTCTCAACTTTCTTTCTCTCTTTAGTTTTAAACCAAGCTTTCATGTAAGTCCCATTTGTTTTTTTTTCTTTTTCTTTTTTTTTTTTTTTCATTTTTTGCATTGGTGATTGATTTGGGCAAAATTTTAAGTTTTTTTTTAATGTATAATGTCA